CTGTAATTTGTCATTTTGGAGACCTTAATCTGGTGAGTATCTTTTATCATCATTCTAGGCCATTATATTGTATTCAAACGAACATTTACTTTAGATCTTGAATCATCAATGAGTAAAGATAAATCTTATAAGAAATACGAATGGTACATAACATCTGCTGTCAAAGTTGCCCTTACAAAACAACCATTACAAAGTGATGCATATTTAATTTTTTATGATACATATTGATATTATATAATGATAATTATTATTGGCAATATAGGAGTAAAACAAAAATTTCAAATAGACATATTATTATGAATAAAATGTAAGTATCCATATTTACCTAATAAATATTGAAATTTATTGAGTCGTCTTTTGGATAGTTTAATTTATTCTAGAACAACTTTTACAAATATTCGATTACATCTTGTATCAATATTTAAGATTATATTGTTCATATATTATTTATATATTAATTAAATTAATTAATACTATTTTTTAATCATTCTAATATATATTTATGTTTCGTAGTTGATAAAAATAACTCTGCTTTTACAATTTCTGTATTTACAATTTAATTAAATTTCTCTGGATTTTTGAATTTCAAAGCCCTTAATTTCTGAGCCAAGACATCAAATTTTTTATCAATTATATTTGACATGACTGAATCTAGTTCAACATATTCAGTCTTTTTTTAAGTCTCTTATGTTGGTTCTTCATAAATTTTCATTTATGCTTGAGTCTATACAATTTCACTAGTTTATGATTCCATTTTTCTTTATTAGATTATACTAGTATCATAATCAAAACATTCTTTTCTAACTTCTGGATGATCCCTCATTTATTCTATTATAAATCAATTTAATTATATATTACCTAATTAAACCTATTAAATCATTCTTTATATATTCATTTAGACTTCTTTCATGTATTCATCAAGATGAGATTGAGTATTAATTTAAGTTTGTTAATCATCATCTAATTAGATTTGATTAGTAAATTTAAGTGTTTAATCCTTTTCTATGACATCTTTATATCTCATTCTATTTTCATGAAATTTTCGTATAGTATCCCCACAAGCATCTTCATTATCCCTTTTATCATTTATTAATCCTTCTATCGTTTAAGGTAAATTCTTTAATTGTTTTTAACGTTATTCATCTATATAAATTATTAAATTATTTTACATAAATAAATATTATATTTAGCTTCATCATCTGGACTTTATAATTGAGAGATTTTCTTTTCAATATCTCTTTTTAAATCGGCTAAACTTAAATTTTATTTAGCTATTAGTTCATATTCTTATTTTAGATCATACACTTTCTTTTTTGCTATAATTGCTTGATTTTATTATTTTGCCATAGGAGAAATAGATGGTGATTGTATATCATTTCTTAAAGTTGATTTACTTGATTTTGAAGTAATTTTCTTTTTTTTATTACTTGGATCCTCTTCATCCCAATCATAATCATATTCATCTTCATCATTATTATTTGTTGCTTCTTAAAATCTTGAAAGCTTTGTCTTTACTCTTTATAATCTTGCTTAAGGTGTATTACTATTATTACTTTAATCTTCAAATTTAGTTTTTTTACTACCTTATTTTCTACCAGGAACTTACACTGGAGTATTATTTTATTGAGGTGTTCCACTACTATTTACTAATGATTAATTTTATGAAGCCTAAAAACTTTTCAATTAAATATCTTATAAATTTGTTCTATTTTTCAATTATTATTATTAATATATTTATTAAGATGAATTTTCAGTAACATTTTAATTACTATCTTAACGTTGAAAATTTAATTTAATTTATCTATCTTCATTATTATTATTATTATTTTGTTCTTATTAAATTTATTCTTATTATTATTAAGAAGATATTTATTTTTAAATAGGTTATTGTAATATATTTTTCTATGAATTTTATTATTAATCCAATATTTATTCTTATTCTTTATATTATGACTATTGTGTTTTTTCTCTTAGATTTTATTTAGTAATTTATAATTATGATTATTAATCTGATTATTTTGATTTTTTAGATCTTTCAGATTATTTTGGATCTGATTTTTTTGATCTTTCTGTTTTTGGTTTAACACTTCTCTTAGTTGCTACATTAATTGTATCATCATTTTCATCTATCTATTATTAAATTTCTTCATATTATTCATCTTCTTAATCAGTTTATGGATCTTATTCATCTTGATGAGGTACTTCTTCAACTGATGTATTAGGAGAATAAATTTCTTATTTTTCATTATCTTTATCACTACTATCTTTATAACCTTGCTTAAGGCTTTTGTAAGTTATTTAAGATTTTGATGATCCATCAGGTTAATATCCCTATTATTCATCTTGATTTGTTCTTTTTGTTTTACTTTTCAAAGGTTCAGATCTCTATGTACCTTATTAACTTGAGATTTAAAATTATTATGCATTTTCAGATTTATTAGAAGTTTAATCAGTTTTTTATTTTATCTAAGGTCTTTTAATATTGAAATTGGTTTCAGTTTATCCTTATTTAATTTGATCTGATTCATAATTGATATTAGTTGGTGGATTATGAGAACGAAATGTATTCTATTATTTTTCACTTGATTCATCAAAATCAATTTAATCTCTAGATGTATTTTTACCAGATTAAATATGTTATGATTTTTTAGTAAAAATTTATTCTCTTTATTTTTTTTAATCATCTAAAACAGATTATAGAAATTACATTTCTTCATCCATTTCTTGAGAATTAGCTCTTTCTTAAAGATTCATTTTATGAGAATCTAGAAATTGTTTGCGTTCATCTTCTGACATATTTTTGAGTATAGTTGATTATTTAGATCTTTTAGATTAATCATGCATTTTATAACTTTTTCTTGATTTTTCTTATTTAGTTGGAGCATTTTCTTCATAAAATTTTAAATAATCAATTTATTCTTTATGATGTGTAATTTTAGGTTGTTTAGCTGGATATCTAGTTTCTTCTAAATAAATTTTTCTAGTTGGTTCATTTTACATAATAGTAGTAGATTATCTCAATAATTTAGATGATAATTTACCAATAGGATGTCTAATCAAAATATTAGTTACATCATCTAATTATTTTTATATTTAATCATGTGGAATTTAAGCCTATTATAATTATTATGAAATCTATTAAATAATATTAGCAATTTATTCTTCATTCAATTTTTTATCTGATAGAGAGACTTAACTCTCAATTTTAAATGTATGATCTAGATGAGTTATATCTCTATTATAAGAAAGATGTCTTTAATGTTCATCTGGAATTTCTTCATTCTTCATAAGAGGTATACTTTATGTCACTTTTTCTTAATCGTCAGATTCAATATCTAAACAATTAAAAGTCGAAGGTTAATCCATAACAGGAGTTGGATTTTTATGCATATTAATTATGTTAGTTACTAAATTTTAAGTAATTTTTTAGACAGTTTCAGATTCAACTTAAGAGAGAGTTTAAGAATATTAAGATTCTTCTCCTCCTTGAATCTTTTTTTAATCAATAACTCTTTATAAAATTTGACTAAATTTCATTTCATAATAGTTCTATCTTTCAAATTTGAATTCATCACTATCATCAAGTTCTTTAGTAGAATATTTAGGTTTTACATCTTCATTTAATTATGATTATTTATAGGCACTTTTTCTCATGGATTCAATTGGTTTTTTCTCAAGACTTAATTAATTAGAATGATGATTAGATTAAGAAGAAGGTAATTAATTAGATCTATTAATACTTGATTTAATAGTTTTACTAGTTTTATTTTATAATTATGAGACCATTGATAGACTTTATTAAAATTTTGATTTGCTTGTATCTTCTATATCTGGTTAAAAGTATGGTTATGAAAGTTATTGACTATCATTATCAGATCTTTAAGCAATTTATTATTTAGCTTATTCTAAGAATTTTAATGTAGGTAATAATTTATTATTTTTATCTACTATTTTATCTTTACTATGTTCAGTATCATTTCCTTTATTAACCATAGATGTAGATCTAATTTACTATAAGATTGATTGCATTTCAGTAGATTGTTCTTAAATGAGTGTTTCTTCAATTTATTTTTACTTAAGATCGATTTTAGATTTATTAGTAATATCATTAGATTCAGGTTCATCTTCATAATTATTAAATTTATATTCAGTAACACTAACATTTGGTTAAGATTTAAATTGCATAGATCGAATAAGTGATATTTCTTAGATAGAGCTTAATTCATTAAAATTATCAGGATTATCTATTCCTGGAGGTTTATTAAGTTCATTCTTCATAGCAACTTCTCTTTCATATATTTATTTTTTAATTCCCAGTATTTGATTTAATTATAATTCTCTTTCCATCTCACTTAATTAATTATGTCTTTAAAGAATGATTTCTCTTACTTTTCTTACATCTTCATGTGAAACCACCTAAGATTCTTAAATTGCCTATACTACTCTACTTAACATTAACTCTTCTAGTTCCAATTGTTAATCTCTTGTTTTTGCTTAAGGGATTTTTGTTGCATCCATATTAACTATTTTTACTTAAGTTTATTGAGTAACTATTTTTGGGAATTCGATATGCTTATTAACAATTGATGCTTTTTCTTATAAATTCTTAATACATTCTCTTACAAATGTCAGTTATTTTTGTTAAGACGGAGGTTTTATTTATATTGTTTTATATGCATTACGTATTTCCTCTGTATTTGGTTCTTCTGTCTAATTCAATTACTACTTCTTTGTAATCTCATTCTTTTTTTATCCATCCTTTATTTTCTTCTCCTTTCTGATTTTCTGTATTGCAAACTTATTTTTCATATACAATCGATAATAAAATTTAAATAAGTCTACATTCCCTTTCCCTTTAAAACCCATAGCATGATTTGCTACAAAATCAAACTCTCTATGTAATGGAAACTGTATCTCTAATTGATTATCTATACTCTATCGAGTTTTCTTTTCATATTTTGGTCGTATTATAAATGTTTATTGATTCCATTCACCTCTATCCTTTACTAAAGGTAATTGAGATGAAACCATTTCCATTTTCTCCATTTTATTATTATATTATTTAATAAATTTTCATCTCCTTTATTTTTATTTAATAAAAATGGCTCTTATACATAATTAAAATGACTTATAAAATATGTTTAGTAAGGCTGGAAAAATAACATCTGAAAGATATGCTGTCTTTTAACATAGAGATTAAGATAATCATACTATTAAAAAATTCAATAGTCCACAACCAACTAAATCTCCTGATTCATTTAAAAAAACAACAATTTCTCATCAATTATCCCAAAATGATACAGAAGAAAACCAATTAAAACATCTTCTCAAATTATCATAACCCTTTACTAAATAAATCTCTAGACAAATTGGACATTATACCTAAATTCCAAATAATTGTAAAGCTTCATGTGGATAATATCATATTAAATATAGTGAACTTGATAAGTAATATCAATATCCTATACTTTTGACAGAGCTATACATTTAGTACCAAATTATGATAAAACCTTGAAACATACTATTCCCAAAGAAGTTCCACACAAACATGAGCCAAATACACCCTTGGAGTAATTTAAATCATTATTATAATAGTACACCTATTATTGTCAAGCCTAAATTTAAATATGATAGTTTTGTTGATTTATAAAGATAAATACCAAGGTTTATACATCTGACATATTTAGACCTGATATTTTTTCAGGAAGACCTAATAATCCACATCCTGATAGATTTCAATTCTTAAATGTTACTGATTAATGGAGTAAAGTACCAAGATAACCTTAAATTAAATTAGAAAAGTTATTATCAAGAGATTAGATGTTGATTTATAAAAAAAAAGAATTTGCACCTGATTACAAACCTAATTTTGAATTTGGCAAAAAGTTAATTCATTTTTTATTATATTAGATCTTTAGGTAGTTGTGGAGCACCCTTCTATAAATTAGAATAAAGAAAAGATATTTTAACTAAGATACCTCCTTATAATTTTGAAAGTTATTTTGAATATGATGAATATTCTAAAAAACCTAAAAGTTAACTCTTTACTTCTCCTACTGCACCTAATTTTAAAACTATGTTAGATAGAGAATTTGATTAACATTCCCTATTGCCAAGTTTTATGCAAGTAATAAACTATTATTATATTTAAAGAAATATACTAATACTAGATTAGGTATTACGCATTTAAATTAAAAAATGTTGGAAGTCAACAATTTTAAAGATGGAAGATTCTTAACTGTTACTTCCAGTTTTATTCCTACCAAATAAAAATTATCAAAAAAAAATCTAAACAAATCCAGTTAAAATTAATCTTAAGATGAAATTTGATATATATTATTAGATATATATTAATTAATTAATTTATTATACTAAATAAATTACATGTTAATTTATTTGTTATAATTATAATTATTTCTTCTCTAAATTTCCTTATTTAATTAATTATTAAAAATAGTAAAATTAATTATTAAAATTTATATGTCCATCAAAAATATATACAACTTTAAATATAAACTAAATCATCATAAATTCATTCCTCATCAAAATTACGAGATTTATATAATTTTCTTTCAAAACTGTCCAACATATTATTTACATTTTTTAAATCATTTGAATCATTTTTCTTTTAGCTATTTTGAAGATTGAGAGATTTAATTTATCTTCTTTTTTTAGGATGCATCTATTATTTACTTTTATTTAAATAAATCGAAGTATCCTTTAACAAAGAACTATTGGCTTATAAAGTTCTACTGAAATTACTTTCTGTCTATTCTACTGCTTAGCATAATAATAAACCCTTATATTCAGTTCTATCAAGCGGATGTTTATAGGATAATGTAGAATTAGATTTAGATTTTTAACTAAGATATAAAATTAGCAATACCTACTTAAAATTAATAAAGGAGAGATTTATGGTTAGTTAGACTAGGGGATTTATTTTGATTCATTTGTTATTGTTTAAGCAGTATTAAATGAGATAGAATTGAAATCTTAATTTAGTACACTTCCTACAGTATATGGTCTAATAATTTAATTTTTGATAGTTGAAGTTAGAATTTGATTCTGAAATTATTATAAAGTTTAAGAATATTATTGTTTTTCTAATTATTGAAGTGTTGATTCAATAATTTCTTTAGATTATTTAGTTTATGCTGTGGTTCCTCTTTAAAAACTTTATCTTGAAGGTGATATTCCACTTCTAATTTCTAATTCAAGATTAAGAATTCTTCGACGAGTACTTTACTGTTTAATAAAATCCATATTTTTCAGTCTCAAATCTTCTTTAATATGTTCAATTTGCAGATCTTTCTTAATTTTTTCACTAATAATCATTACTCCTTATTCTTCCATTTTAAGAATTTTAGGATTAATGAGAAGATTGATTTGTTTTTAAGATTATTAATTTAATTTATTCCATAAATGATCTGGCCTACCTAAAAGTGCAGTTTTTGATAAGATAGGTTTTAAAACAATTTTGTCTATTTAAACATCATTTTATTATTAACTTAAACTTTAAAGGCTTCCTCTTTCAATCTTTCTTTATTACAATCTATTTAAATCTTCATCTCTTGCAAGATTATAATAAATGATTTTGTTCTTCTATAAATCATATTTATCTTATTATTAAAGTTCAAGCATTGTTTTAATTCTTTTCTCTCCTCTTTATTATTATTATTTTAATTAAGTAAATATTTTTGCATTAGATTTGGTTTAATGAGGATTGTTCCAAATATGGGTATTATCATTATAATAATCATGAGTTTTCTTTTAATGATTATTAGTTGGAACTGTTTAATATCTAAATGAATATTTTATAAATACTCAGGTAATTTAGTTTATAAATAATATTTATCTATTTCTTTAGTTGGATAAGCAGGATGATTTGTTATCATTAATGAATATATAAAATTAATTAATCAATTTTCATTACTAACCCGCTAACACTATGCCATTAAATTAAATATTTATAAATCTTCTGCTGACCCTTCAATCAAACATTTATCTGTACTGGCTGCAATTTCCATAATCTTTGCTTTATGTTTTTCTTTAATAATTTAAGTTGATACAATAGAAATTTTAATATTTTTTAAGATTTGATTAATTTTTAATATAAGTATTCCTATGTGTAATACAGCTTCCACAAATTGTAAAATCTATAATAATTATTGTAAATACTAACTATTCAATATTATACCTTATTAAATAACTCTAACACATTCTTCTTGAATAAATCTAAGACTGTTAGTTTAAATGACAGATACAAGATCATCTATTTATTTATATCATCTTTATCAGCCACATATTTTAGTCTTTCTATCTACTCATTTTCAGGAATTGGTTTAAATCTATATTTAACACATCTTGATACCAAAGGTTCAATAATCTAATTTAAATTATTAATTTACTTTTGTAATATAAATAATACAAAATCTAGTTGTTGAAGCATAATCTTCAATTATTCTTCTAAGAGCACTTTAAGTATCATTAGTCATAGAATCAGCTTCATCAAGAATAATAATTTTATAAAATTAGAGTTTGGATTTTTAGCAACTATTTATTCTGCAAATTTTTTAACTTTATTTCTAACTACATTTATTCCTCTATCATCTGAAGTATTTAATTCTCATACCCTTAATCTCCAAAATTCTGGTCCTAATAATTATTTTGCTAATGCTATAATTGTAGATGTCTTTCCTGTTCCTGGAGGTCCATGTAATAGAAGATGAGGCAGATTTCCAATTCTGAAAACTCCTTATAAACTTTAAAACTACTTCTTCCTAATATGCAAGATCTTCTATTTTATTAGGACGACTTTAATTTAATATAAATAATTTATACTATTTTTCTACTCATGGCAACATAGGTTTGACAATTGGTTCTTCAACTTGCATTGCAGAGGAATTTTTGTTAAACTAATAAAGAGTCCTATTTTATAGTTATTTTAATATTCATTTTTAATTTATGATTATAATAAATTTAATAATACATATAAATAAGTGGATAATTTATAATAATATTGAGAATAATTAATATGTTTTATAATTAAAGAATATCAATACTTTCTATGAGGTTCTTTAGTAGTTACTATTTTTGGTGCCAATATTTATATATCTGGCTTAACTATTTCCTTTTAGGTAATATGTTATCTATTTTAAAGATTAGTTCTTTTCTTTTCTACTGATTAAGTTTTATTAATTTAATTTTGTTATAATGTTTTTCTTTATCCCATCAATTATTAAGTCTGTAATTAATTATTTATAAATGATAACTTTTTCTCTGAATCAATTGCATTCAAAGATCCTTTTGGTAATATGGGAGGTTATTATTACAATGGTTATGTCATAATTAATTATTAATGTTACAGTTGTTTTTCGGCACTCATTAGATCTTACTAAGTTCTTATAAGATTGTCATCTTTAATCCAATCATATTTGTAATCAAGTTCAAAACCAATCTTTTTAAATGCATCCTAAAATGCATTCTGAGAAACATACTTTAAACAAACCTCTAAGGTATTGATAATCAGGTTTTTCTTCAAATTTTAAATGTTTACAATAATTTAAATATTGACTCATTTCAATAGGAAATCCTTTACATAAAACATCAGATGAAGTTTCTAATTTTTTTTCCATAATTTTTGAATATTTGTCTTTCTAATTGTTTGCTTTCATGTTTTACCATGGAAGTTATCCTCTTAATAAATACATTAAGACATAACCAAGAGATTCGAGATCATCCCTTCTAGATTATTCAATTCCTAAATGAGTATTGATAGATGCATATCTAGCAGTTCCAGTAAGACTTTTTCCTTCCTTATATAGTATATGTCCTTCTTTTGTTTAATAACGTTTGGCTAATCCAAAATCTAATAGATAGATTCTAACTGCTTTTTAACCTAATCCAATAAGAAAATTATCTGGTTTAATATCTCTATGGATAAATTTGTTTAAATGAATATATTCAATTCTTTAAATCATCTAATCACCAAGCATCAATACCTAAAAGTAAATTAAAGTTATTTACAGTCTTTAGAGATAATCTTTTATTATGTTTATTTAATAGTTCTTCAAGACTTTAACCTAATAAATCTATTACAATGTAATTATAATCACCATCTGTCCCTTAACCATATATTCTAGGGATTCCTAACTTTTAATTAATATTTGAAATACCTTTATCACTACTATCAGATCCTTATAAATAACTATATAACTTGGCTTCAAAAAATAATTAAGGATGTTTAGTATCACTCCTTTCTAATTTCATTGCATAATCCTCTTTTCCTTTTGTTACTTAATAGATTTCTCCAAAAGCTCCACTTCCTATTCTCTTAATCAATTTATAAACTTTTCCTATTACTGAATTCGTTAGATCTTTCCCTATAGGTGTGTCCATTTATTCAATATAATTTAATAACTTATTATTTAAAATTCAAAATAATTTAAAATATAAATACGCCAACAAGAATCCCAAAATAAATTTCCATTGATTTTTAACCATTAACCATGCTCTATACAACATTAACAAAAACTTTAAGAATATTGCCAATCTCCCAACTACTTTCGATAATTACTCAGGACTTTATACTATTTAATTAATATACTCACCTTGCAGAATTAATGTATTATGTAATTGCATTATTACCACCAAATGCAGGAGCCATCATTTTTAACATTTAAGGATTACTCTTTAATTAATCTATAACCATTTCAAGCATCTATGGATTTTAAGCTAATCCTTATAAATTTTATGGCATTTATTAACTAGCTGTTGAATTTTATGATGTATTCTGATTAATTTGTTATTATTAGACTGTTTAATTAGATTAAAATTATTATGTCTATTATGTCTATTATGTCTATTATTTTTATTATTTTAATATTGCTGGATCTATATTTTTCATTTATGATAACATTTCTGGTGTCATCATTGTTTACATCATTTCTATTTATTAATCAGACATCTCAACACCACTTTATTATTTCATCATTTATTTTAAAAAACCTTTATCCATTGTTTTTAATGTGTTAGTCATATAATTTAATTATTCAGGAGACTTTAATTATATTATTAAATAATTACCATGTTTTTAAATTAATCATATTATTGTTGAAATTAAGGATCTTCAATAATTTTACTTGCATTTTATGTTTCATTCTATTTAGTAACAGGTTTATTTATTTAACTTTTACTAACAGGTATTTCTTCTTCAATTATCATTCCATCTTCTTTATTTGNAATTATAATCACCATCTGTCCCTTAACCATATATTCTAGGGATTCCTAACTTTTAATTAATATTTGAAATACCTTTATCACTACTATCAGATCCTTATAAATAACTATATAACTTGGCTTCAAAAAATAATTAAGGATGTTTAGTATCACTCCTTTCTAATTTCATTGCATAATCCTCTTTTCCTTTTGTTACTTAATAGATTTCTCCAAAAGCTCCACTTCCTATTCTCTTAATCAATTTATAAACTTTTCCTATTACTGAATTCGTTAGATCTTTCCCTATAGGTGTGTCCATTTATTCAATATAATTTAATAACTTATTATTTAAAATTCAAAATAATTTAAAATATAAATACGCCAACAAGAATCCCAAAATAAATTTCCATTGATTTTTAACCATTAACCATGCTCTATACAACATTAACAAAAACTTTAAGAATATTGCCAATCTCCCAACTACTTTCGATAATTACTCAGGACTTTATACTATTTAATTAATATACTCACCTTGCAGAATTAATGTATTATGTAATTGCATTATTACCACCAAATGCAGGAGCCATCATTTTTAACATTTAAGGATTACTCTTTAATTAATCTATAACCATTTCAAGCATCTATGGATTTTAAGCTAATCCTTATAAATTTTATGGCATTTATTAACTAGCTGTTGAATTTTATGATGTATTCTGATTAATTTGTTATTATTAGACTGTTTAATTAGATTAAAATTATTATGTCTATTATGTCTATTATGTCTATTATTTTTATTATTTTAATATTGCTGGATCTATATTTTTCATTTATGATAACATTTCTGGTGTCATCATTGTTTACATCATTTCTATTTATTAATCAGACATCTCAACACCACTTTATTATTTCATCATTTATTTTAAAAAACCTTTATCCATTGTTTTTAATGTGTTAGTCATATAATTTAATTATTCAGGAGACTTTAATTATATTATTAAATAATTACCATGTTTTTAAATTAATCATATTATTGTTGAAATTAAGGATCTTCAATAATTTTACTTGCATTTTATGTTTCATTCTATTTAGTAACAGGTTTATTTATTTAACTTTTACTAACAGGTATTTCTTCTTCAATTATCATTCCATCTTCTTTATTTGATTATATTTTTTATTTTAAATTTTAGAATTCTTCACTATTTGTATCAACTGATGTTAATTTAATTTTTGGTTTCTTTTATTCTTATTCATAATCCTATCTTTCTTAATTTTCTTTTTTCTCATTCTTATTTTATTAAAATTAATCATTTTTATTAATCTTCTCTTCTTAAACATTTTCTGTTTATTCCACTTTCTATTAAGAATCTGTATTATTTTAATTTTATTTAATGTTTGCATCTAAATCAATTAATTATTATTTTGCTTATTTATACATTATTGCGACTGTTTCATCATTTGGTAATTTTTAAATTGCTATCTCTAAATATTTTAAAGCTTCTTAATATCTTTTTGTTTCAAAAAGTGCTTAACCCATTCTAAAATTAGCTTTTCCATTTTAATCATCATCCTCTAATACTTTTTTGGCTTAACGTAATACAACATCATATTATTATTATTTAGCTTTAACATTACAATAATTTAATCTACAAGAATGCTCCAATACTTTTAATTCTTATTTTTAAATTTTGTCATTTTTTAAATAAGTATTATTTTCCCATAATTCTTCAATTTCAGAAATAGCTTCATAATATTTAGATGCAGCTTTTTCATAATCTTATGATTTAAATGCATCATTTCCTTAATTTTTTAATTTGTTAATTAATGGGAATTAATCACTCTAAGACTTTTATGATTATTATTATTATTATTATGCTTAAACTCTTTATTTTGCTCGTTCAATATCTTCAGGACGAGTCTAAGAGATAATTCAAATAAAATACTTAATTAACTTATCTCTACAGATCCTCATCTTTCATATTCTTAACTTAACCCATTTATTATCTTATAAAAGAAGGATCTATATTTCCCATTCCTGCCATTTAAGCATATTGTCTCAATTGATCATCACTCATATTTGCACACATTTAAGACATTGATTTCATCATTTCAGGAGTCATAAATTATTTTGTATTTTCACCAAATTACATTTTTAATATAATTTTTAATAAAAGCATAGCACGTAATCAAACATTATAATTATTTTCATTAATTACCTTTTAGAATTGATAATATGATCATCATAACATAAAACTATTTTATTCAAATATTCATTACAGATATATAACATTATTTTTATATATATATATAATAATAATCAGATAAACAGTTAATGAATAAATCTCTTTTATTAGAAATGTAGCTGAGAGACGCTCTCGATAGAGAAATTAATCTCAAAAAACTTAATGAATCCTTAATGTAAGCTATGAGTGAAATGGCAAATCAAGATAAGGGAAAGGAAATTCATTTCTTAAATTAACTGCATGAAAGAGAAGTATCCAATCTAAAAACTACACTTCAAGAAAAAATTACAATCCTCGAATATGAAGTAAGACTTAAATAATATTATCAGCATCGTAAGAAATGTTAAGAGTTTATTTAATTGTAAAATGATTATAAGCAATTATAATTAGACTATTAAGAAGAATAAGATAAGTAATTATTAATTTCATTTAGAAAATGTCTAAATTGCATTGAATTGTAATATTAATTAGATCTAATTAAAAAATAACATGATATTGAAAAAGAAGGACTTGCTCATGAATTTGCTGAAGCCCTTAACAATTAGAAATCTATTTTTGAATATGTATAATTATGTCATCTTAAAACTATAGGATTTAAATTGTATCAAATTAAAACTTAAAGAACTCTCCTATTAATTGGATTGTGAATGTAAGGAAAAAGATAAATTATAAAAAGCTATTTAAGAATCAAATAACGCTCACGATTTAGCAGTAAATTTTATAAATAAATTAGTAAAGAAGCTTAATGTAATAAATTACTGATTTAAATAAAGCTCATAATGACACAATCATTTAGAATAATCAATATTAGATAACCACATAATAAAGGGAACAATTATAAATAGTTAAGCTTTCACAAATTGAACAAGAGAAAATAATCTTGGAAAAACAATTCTTAGAATAAAAGTAATTAGTTTAATCTATAACTAATATAGAGAGATTAATTATAAATTGGATTCTTAACTTAAAATATTGAATCAGTAATTACATGATAAAGAAACCAAATTACTTGAATAAAAGACTGAATTAACGAAAAAGTTGATTAATGAAAAAAAAATTGCAGAACAATGTTAAGTCGTTGCTCTTAAACTGAAAAATGATTTTCAAAGAAAATAATCTCTCTTAATTGAAGAATCTCTCAAAAAAGAATAATAATTAAAAACTATTTAAACATAACTTACAAGATAAAAGAGTAAAAACAAATTTTATGAAAATGCTCTTAATTAAGTCAATCTTTAAGAAATTAAGAATAATACTCCTAAATAAATTAAACATAAAAAAAATAACTTTTCTAATGATTTTAATTCATCTCGTTAAAATGGTCATTCTAAAGTAATTTAACTTATTATTATTAAAAGAATACTTTAAGTTAGGGTCATATTGCAAAAATTAAAATATTGCCATCTTCAATACATAAAAGTGAAGCAGATTCTATTCATTTTAATCTTACAGATATGCTTAATTCAACAAGAAATCCTGATTAATAAAATTTATCTTGTAGATAATCAAATGATGATGTTACTTACAATATAGAATAATTTAATTGTGTTGCTAAAATTGTATATATTATATATTAATAAAAGATCTAAACTAATGAAGATTCCAATACACCAACTTAAATATTGACTGAAAGATAATAATTGTCTCCTAGAACTAGAAGTATATTCTCATTTATATTTTCTTAGTTTAAACTGTGAATCCAAAAGGACATCTCTAAAGAGTAAGATAAATAAAAGCAGATCTGACTAAAGAAAACGCTATTGTTAAACTTAAAGCTTGAAAAATTTATTCATTTTAGAAAATCATTATTTAGTTCTATTCATAATCATTTACTAAATAAAACCTTTAAATTACAAGTGTTCTATAGAATTTATAGTTATATAATAATAATCATAAAAATTAAAAGATAAATTCGAAATATATATTATAGTTTTATAAATTATACGTTTATTCACTTTGAACATATGAATTAAATATAAAAATAAGATCATTCATTTATATATTCACTTTTGTAAATTAAATTCATAAAATTCTCATGATTTAATAGAAATTGGGAATTATATTTATTTTTGAATTATTATTCCAATAAAGAAACAACAATCTAAAATGTTGGTGATTTAAAAAAATGATATCAAATTTTCATATTATTATTATGATATTGTGTAGTTATTTTGATAGTAATAATAAATGTATAAGAGATTAAAATATATGGATACAAAATAGTCAAGATCAAAAGGTTTTAACTGTTAATTTCAAACTTTTTAAGCCTATTTTCTCATAGCCAAAGGACAAGGATTTAATATAATTTATCTTTTCAGTTGTTTTTCTCTTAAAGTTTAATAGAAATTATTACACACATTAACAAAAGTAACCATCACAACCTTGACAATGGTAAAACATTCTTTTTGAATTTCTAAAACAATTTCTATGTTACTCAACATCATCTTCACTTTAATAATATGTATCTAAGCTTGTCTAAATGTAATAAAAATTTAATATTTACATTAACACAAATAGGGCAAGCGACAGGTAAACCATTGCATTATAATAATTCAAATTCTTTATGACAAGTACAACAATTCAAAAAACCTACGCTAATCTAGCACCAAGGACATAAGATTTGACCCTCCATCTTTTTTTATAAGTAAAATAAATAATAAATATAAATGTTAATACGTCAAATATGAATCACCTTTTAAATCGTTATTTATAATAAAAATTGTTTCTTTATAATATAAACAAAAAATAATTCATTCTCTTAATGCTACAAGTATAGATCTTAATATTCCTAAAATAAATACCCAAAGATTTATATTAAAGACAATCTAATTTTAAATATAATTAATTTACTTCCCAAAATATAATAAAAATCAATGTTAGTAAAAGAGTTCCTAAAGTGAATGTTGAAATAAAATAGTAATAGAGATAATATCGTATACCAGTCAAATGAGGAACAAAATTTATTTCTGAACCAAATTATGCCGCTCTTATTAAATAAATGTAATTACTCATAGGCTACCATTTCTAAAATGATTGCTTTAATCTTAATATTTTAATTAGGGATATGAGTAAATAATTTAATCTCTCCTGTCTTAGCATATGTCTCATGCAAATCTAAAAACTCAGATAATTTCTTAAACACTTTAATAACTATTCTAAATGGAAGGAATTTAAATATTGACTATATAAAATATATTTAATTAATGATACTAAATGATATTATTCTCCTAATTTTATCAGATTTTATTATTTAAAATTTTTATTATTATCATCTGTTATTAGATATGATGTTAATTCCACAATAGTCTTTTAATTAGGAATTAAATAATTTGCATCAATATTGAATTAAATTTCATAGTATTCATCTTAAAATTAAATCTCATTGTTTCCTTCAAAAACTATAGATTCACACAACAAATTTTTTTAAAATTTCAAGGTTGATTACTAAAATTCTATTATGATGTCTTAGTTCGAAATTTAACATATATTTTTATATGAATGATCGAATACAAATCCATAATATTTCCCATTTATCAAATGATATTAAATTTGTACTTTTTGATTCATCTCAGGAATAACAGAAAAATATGCTCTTAAAATTATTGCAAATGCCAAAATTGAAAAGAATCCATACCATAAACTTTTCTTTACTAGGAATATTATCAAAGGTGTTAGTCCTAAGAATTCAAATATTTTTTAAGTGATTCTGAAAATAAATGTTATCAACTCTATAATCATGTTTACAGAAATTATATATTAATATTATTTACTATTAAAAAATTATTCAATCAAAATGATGATGTGTCACTATTTTATTCAAATAATTGAATTCATACTTTAAAATTACTAATTGTTGTGCTCAACATAGTTCAAAGTTTTGAACTTATTTAAAATCATTATTTCTCATTAAACCTAAATCTTTATAATTAAATTCTTTCATTAATATATTCTTTTTGTTCTTTTAAAAAAATTGATAGGAACTTTGTGATATTTCTACATAGAATTGAGGTTTTTTTTTGTAAAAAATAATTTTATCAATTCCAGATGTTTTTTTTAAGAATCTCATACATTCTCTTATTTTGAATAGTAATATTATGTTATGTTATAAACTTAATCTCTTTTTGATAGAAATATTTATTATTCAATTAAAGAAGGTTTTTGAATTTTCAAAGTTGATCTTTATAAATGCCTTCTTTAATATTATTAATTTTATTAACTTACTATTTTTCATAATATTTTTAATTCATTAATGAATTCAATACTTCAAGAAATCTAATGAAATTCAAATTACTTCTTATAAATGACTGTAAAATTATCCAAATAATCTTAAATTTTACATTCTTCAATTATTTTGGATAGTCTATAAGGGAATCTGTAAAAAAGTCAAAAATAATTAACTGAATACTTATTTTTATTTTTAATTATTTAACAATTAGATATTTTATAGTATCTCTCTTAAAAAAATTTCTATCATTTAGTCAAAAACAACTGCAGAATTAAGATTAAAATAATTAATTATTTAATTTAAAAAATAAAATTATAATTTTATTAAGAAATAAAATATAAGTGATATTTAAGTTCTTTCCTCGATATATCTATAGTTGGATTGTATGAGTTCTATTATTTGAATATTTTAGAAGTATCTGCCAAATTTTTATATGTATATAATATAAAACCTTGGACTATAGAATTATCGCTTGCTAAAATTGAAGCTTTAGGTTAAATATAAATACAATGATCAATTCTGAAAATTTAAAAGCAACCAATTCATATAAAATTTCTTGATAATGAATTAACATGCTTTGGATCAAGAAAAATGCATTCAAAGTGTTGTTTTAAAATCTGGCTTACAATACAACTAATGAAATATTCTCAGTTTAAAGCCTTCTAACCTGATGACCTTTTGTTCTTTAGTTATGTTTAGTATCTTTATAATTTTATAATCAAATAAATAGATAACATTTATAATCTAAAATTAAAGAGGATAAAAAGAAATATTTATACATTACCCTATATACAATAGAATGAATTATGAAGTTTTATCATTATCGATTTATACTCTATTTATTAAATTTAAAGAAATTCAAAAAGACTTTTATATATTAATTATAAACTTCACACTTCTACTGTTTGTATTTGTTTTTGTCATACCAGTCCAATGGTTTAAATGAAATAACCTAAATGATTAAATTCATTAATTAAATATTTATTACTTTAGTTGTCCAAATATATATATCAATAATTAACAATAAAAAAATTGGCTTATTAAATAAAATTATTATTTCATTTACATTTTATTTCATATATACATTGCTTCAAATTCTTCAAAAACTCATTTAGCAAAGTTCTAATAATAAAATTAAAAAAAATCTAATTTCTGACTTTTTCAATACTTAAGATTGAAAGTAATAATAAGTTCAATAATACAATATGAAAATATTTGATATACGAAGTTCTAATTTACTTTTACAGAAATATTTCTGCTTTTTAAATGTATGATAAAGTATAAATAATGTTTATTTAATTTAAATCATCTATTAAAATATAAAATATATATTTTAAAGCAACAATATAATCAGTATGAATAACATAAAATCTAAATTATAAATTAATTTAATATATTATTATATCTTTACATAATTATTTTATAGATCAATCAAAGTATAAATCCTCCAATTGTTGATCTTCCAACAAGTGAATTATTCCATCATCATGTGTCTCCTATATGTTTTGATTTTCTGCATTAGTTAACATCAAAGGTTGATTTAAGTAAAGGTTTTCCATTTTATCGATAGTACTATCAGTATCATCTTCCTTTACTTTCTTTTTATTTGTTACTATCAAATCTTCAACATCAGATTCCAAAGCTTAATATACCCCTGAATATTATCTTTTCTAATTCTTTATTAAATTTTAATACTTGTAAAGGATCTTCTTCAAGGCTTTAAATTTGCTATTGTCCTATAAAATAATCTTTTAACTTCTAAATCTTCTTTTAACCATTAAATCTATTTAAATTCTCATAGTTACCTTTCTTAAACTAATTGATTTCGTAGTTATTAATTACATTATAATATTTTATTATTTTATTCAATTAATATTTTACAAACTTTCTCTAGTTCTTGTTATTTAGTTAATATTTCTTAAATTTATTTCTATTTAATAATTAAACTTAATAATAAACATCTTATAAATTTGTATTTCGANTAAACTTCACACTTCTACTGTTTGTATTTGTTTTTGTCATACCAGTCCAATGGTTTAAATGAAATAACCTAAATGATTAAATTCATTAATTAAATATTTATTACTTTAGTTGTCCAAATATATATATCAATAATTAACAATAAAAAAATTGGCTTATTAAATAAAATTATTATTTCATTTACATTTTATTTCATATATACATTGCTTCAAATTCTTCAAAAACTCATTTAGCAAAGTTCTAATAATAAAATTAAAAAAAATCTAATTTCTGACTTTTTCAATACTTAAGATTGAAAGTAATAATAAGTTCAATAATACAATATGAAAATATTTGATATACGAAGTTCTAATTTACTTTTACAGAAATATTTCTGCTTTTTAAATGTATGATAAAGTATAAATAATGTTTATTTAATTTAAATCATCTATTAAAATATAAAATATATATTTTAAAGCAACAATATAATCAGTATGAATAACATAAAATCTAAATTATAAATTAATTTAATATATTATTATATCTTTACATAATTATTTTATAGATCAATCAAAGTATAAATCCTCCAATTGTTGATCTTCCAACAAGTGAATTATTCCATCATCATGTGTCTCCTATATGTTTTGATTTTCTGCATTAGTTAACATCAAAGGTTGATTTAAGTAAAGGTTTTCCATTTTATCGATAGTACTATCAGTATCATCTTCCTTTACTTTCTTTTTATTTGTTACTATCAAATCTTCAACATCAGATTCCAAAGCTTAATATACCCCTGAATATTATCTTTTCTAATTCTTTATTAAATTTTAATACTTGTAAAGGATCTTCTTCAAGGCTTTAAATTTGCTATTGTCCTATAAAATAATCTTTTAACTTCTAAATCTTCTTTTAACCATTAAATCTATTTAAATTCTCATAGTTACCTTTCTTAAACTAATTGATTTCGTAGTTATTAATTACATTATAATATTTTATTATTTTATTCAATTAATATTTTACAAACTTTCTCTAGTTCTTGTTATTTAGTTAATATTTCTTAAATTTATTTCTATTTAATAATTAAACTTAATAATAAACATCTTATAAATTTGTATTTCGATGTGGTTTTAGTTCCATTATAGCAAATTAATCATCATTATGTTCACCTGACTTTCTTTTTATTTTTTTGAGAAGATTTCTTTATTAACTATCAATATTACCTTTAATCTTTCTTAAAATGTGGATGAATAAATTCATTTTCTTTTAAATCACTTCTTGATTTGTGAAACCCATACATATTCATCTATTTTAATTTTAACTCTAACTATTTACTTAACGAACAAATGATGCAAAGTTTCTATGTTTAAAGTACATAGGAAGAACTTAATCTTAAAAGGCTATCACATTTTTTACAAGAAAACCTGAACCATCTTCATTCCAACCTACAATATCTTATAATTAAGGATTCTTCTTATAATTTTAAGTGTCATACTTCTAGAATATCATAAGTTTTCTATAAAAATGCTGGGATAGATGATTGACTACGAGATTTCGACATTAATTTATAATATATATTTTATTAAGAATCTCTCATCTAAACACAAATTTAGAATCTCTTAGAATATCATAGAATGTTCTATTCTTCCTTACAATGCATAAAATACCAATCAAACATTTACTTCAGAACCTTCTCAAATAAATATTTATTCTATAACGTTTTTAGACTATATATCATCTTTCTAGATAACTTAAAATTTAAAAATGTCCCATCTTTAACTTCTCAATTATATAAATTTTCATTATTTCATTCAACTAAATTAATTCCATAACATTCATATTTTATTTTCTTCTTATTTATTGGATACGAAAACATAAGGATTTTCATCTTCCATTTCTATCATTTCATATAAATTTAAAATATTTATTTCTAACAAATTAAATAAAATTAATTTCGTATATCACTATTGTTATTTTATTCTATCAGCTCTTGATCTTCTCCTTGGATATCCAATCTCATTTTCTTAATTATCAAATCTTTTAACTCGATCTTCAATGCCTAATTAATTTAATTATTTTAGAGGAGATATTTTCAATTACTCTTATTTTGTTTCTTGTTTACTATCTCCTCTTCTTTCAAATTTAGATTTTAATGATCTTTCTGTAATATTGTGCAAACTTAGATCTCTATTTGTTTATTATAATAGCTTCTCTACTTTGAATGTTTTTGGATATTACAAAGTTTAATCATTTTAATAGTCAAATTAAAGTTTTTCCAAATATCTTTAAGTTGTTAGATTATTTATGATTGTATCATCTGAATTATCTGTAATTAATTCTGAATTATTTTATATAGAATTTTACATTCTAAATCTTTGAGATTGTAATGATTAAAAAGTACAAGTATTTTATCTAAATATAATACTATGAATTTACAATGAATCATTATCTGTTAAGTATTGATATACTTTGGTTGGAAAGAAAAGTGTATAAACTTCTTCACTTTCTTTTGAAATTCTTTCATTTATAATATTTTTCATTTCTTCTTCATCAATAACTTTATTTTTTTCATAAATAACACCATATTTTTCATTACAAGTTTTGAGATCCATTTTGATTGTGTCATCAATACCAAATTTATCTATTAATTTATTGTATTATGCAATCATACTAGTTAGACAACTTTAAGAAATTCCATATTTGTAAAGACACTTTAAATATCTTTGTTTATTTTATTTAATTTTACTTACGATGAATTTGTTAATATTTTGCATCAATTATTTTAACATTTTACATTAATTAACATTATTAATTCAAAACCTATTCCTTTAAGTATTTATTTTCTCGTTCTAATTCTTCAAGTCTACTGATAAATCTGCTTAGTTGAATTTGTAAATCTTTCAAGTTTTAACTATCTTACATATTAATTTTAAATTATAACAATCATTTTTTATATTATTTCATTGTTTTTTGTAGTAAAAAGTTTAAAAATTTTCAAAATTTTGCCAATCTTCATCTTTAATTGATTGTGACATTGTTTGGAGATTATATTCTTCAATAGTACCTCTAGGTCCACTTTCAACATTTAAAGATTATTATTTCATAAACATCTATCAATATTAAAAGTATTCGATTTATATTAAGATTGCCACATTTTTTATGAATCCCTAAAACCAAGAATGCTATAAAATTTCTATTTTTTAATTATAATTTTTTTATTCCTTTTCCCTTTAATCTCTCCTGTATATTTTTTTAGCATAAATTAGAAATAAGATCTATCAAATTTTTTGAAATGAAATTAGGAAAATTGATTTGTTTTGATAATATATATTTTAAATCATCTCTTATCTAGTTTTTGAATAAAATGGAGGAATTCCAGCAACCATTTCAAATAATAAGATTCCTAATTAATAATAATCTTAAGTATAATTATGTCCTGTTAATTGAATCATTTCAGGAGCCATATATTTTAAGGATCCACAAAATGAAAAATTTAGATCATTTTTATATTCTACTAATTTACTTAATCCAAACCATCTAAATCTATTAAAATATTTTCTGGTTTTAAATCTCTATATATTACATTTTTAGAATGAAGATAAAATATGGAATCTAATACTTAAATTAAAAGCCATTTGGCTTAATTTTCACAAAATCTTTTCTATTCTCTAAAATGATAATATAGTTCTTCCCCTGGACAATAATCGAGAATAAAATATAGTTTAGTTTTCTAAACAGTATAATTAAATATCATACAGTTTAATAAGAAGCATATTATGAAATGATTCTTCTATGATTTAAAGTGATAAGAATTTCTTTTTCTTTGATAGGTAATACTTCTTTTCCATTATCAAATATTAAATGTTTGTCTATAATCTTCATAGCATAAAATTATCAATTTTCTTTATTTCTAACTAAATATAATTGTGGAATAAGGATTATTCCATTAAAATTTGGTAAAAATAAATGTAAGCAACTTAAATGATAATCTAAGTGAATATTATTGGTTTTGAATCCTAAAATATTATATGGATCATAATTTAAATCTAATTAACTAATTTTTCTGATAATTTAAGAGAGTACAATTACAAAATATTAGATTAATAAAAAATGGAATATAATTCTTTAAGAAAATAAGATTAAAAATACTATAAAAAATAGCCATCTACAAGTTATATCTCGATCTTTTAACTAAATAGCAATCCACCCATTATTTAGAGTTTGAACTCTAATCACATTGATTATATTTTTAATTAGTTAATGATCTAAATAATTCAATTTAATATTTTGAATTAAAGACATTTTCACTTAATTCTTTTTGATCCTATTAGGTTTTATGAATAGATCTGAATTTGTTTTAAATGATGATTCTACATTTTTCATAGATTCTTCAATAGATATATCAGTATCAAACATAGAATATATATATGTTAAGAATTAAAAAAGTATTGTAATTAATAATAAGTATTAATATGATTAACAATGTAAACTTAGAGTTGTTAGATAAAGATTTGTATATTATTTTATATTAAATAATAATCATTCTTTTTAAAGATTATTTAATTACTTATCTTCATAATTATTATATTATCTATGTCCATTAATAATAGAGGTTTATCTAAAGAATTCTAAGAGCGCATTATTAATGATTTAGGCATAGTAGAATGTGAAGATTTTCATGATGGTACATGCTTGTATGCCTCATTTATAAGACTGCTTTAATTGATTCCTAAATCATACAAATACTATATTCCAATACATTTAATTCCATTTCTCATCTTCAAAAGGAAGAGAGTAATGTAAAGGTAGAAAATAAGTGAATTTATTAAGACCTGTAAAGACAATTTCAGTGGCAGTTTATAACTATGGAAAATCAGTTTTATTTGTATCTCTTTATGTTGCTATTTGTAAATACGCATTATGTAAACTTAAAAATATTAGATAAAAAGTTGATGGTAAATAATATTTAATATCTTTAGGTTTGAATCCTGCTTTAGCTGCATCAGTTGCTTGTTCAGCACTTTTCTTAGAATCTGAAGGTAGAAGATAGGAAATAGCATTATTTATATTTCCTAAATCTTTAGAAACTGCATGGAGATTATTAAAAAAGAGAGGATACGTATCTTCAATTAAAGGTTGGGAATTGTTCTTATTTGGACTTGCCATGGGAATTATTAATTATTTCTATCATTATGACGTAATATTTATAATTTATATTAGGATGCAGCAATTAAATCTACATACCTAACTATATTTAAAAATTTCTGGGGAAAAGATTGATTAAGCTACTAAAGTGTATTTCCAAAATAAATCAAATATCAAATATCAATATAATATAATATATATCATAATTTTATTATTCTACCTTCAATTTAAGGATCTATAACAATACAAATTTCACCATTAATTTTGGTTAATCCTTATATAATCTTACTATAATGATTAATTTAATGGTTTTATAAATTTAATTATTAGAGAGTCTTAATTTCATTTTCTTAAATATCTAATAATTGTAGTTCTTCATGAAATCTGCAAATATCTAATACTCTAAGAACTGTTTATAGCATTTGAATTTCTGCATTTTTATCTATAATATATTGATCATCTGGTATTTTAAGAAATCCATCAAAACCCATAGATATATAACATTAACTAGCAGCCTTATACATTCTATCCATTTCTAAATCATTTCCATTAATTTTAACATTAATGATTCTACTTCCTTATGGTTTTGTTGGATCAAATGTAAATTAGATGCCAGAAACTCCTAAAAATCTTCCATCAAAATTTGGCCATTTTCCTACTCTATTATTATAATTTGATATAATTACCCATTCTCTAGCATTCTTAGTAAATTTGTACCCTTAATATTAAATTTGACTATTTAATCTGGCATAGGAAATATTTTATCTAATTCTTTATAAGTGATAATTCCTTTATGAATTATATCATCAGCTCTTAGAGTTCCACTATTAAAGAAGGATATTTCTGCATCTAATTCATATTTTAATATATCTGCATATAAATTGGATAGATTTGTTTCTTTATTTCTGACTTCAGGAAATCTACATTCTAAATCACAATTACTAAAACAAACAATTTTTTATTTTTCTATTTTTAATAATAATAATTAAATTTACAAATGTTATATTCTTCAATTTTTAAGTCTACATAATTTCTCATATCAATATTCTATGGAATAGAATTAAGTATATTCATAATTGAAACATGAATATGAAATTTAGAATTTAATATTAATGACTATTATAATTCAACAATTGATTTATCATTAGAAAAATTATCATAAATGAAATTGTTAATTAAATCTTTATTTGTAATTTCATTTAAACTAATTCTTATAATTCCTAAATTTTTAAAATTAGTTCCACTCTTCATAAATAAGCTTTAATTAATTTTTTCACAATAAATCATATGATCATGTCCTCCTAATACTAAATCAATTTTTGAATCAATTAAATGATAAATTAAATTATGATCATTAGGAACTCGCATATGAGTTAAACCAATAATAAATTCACATTTTTCTTCTTCTCTTAAATATTTGACAGTTCTTTCTGCACAATGTAAATAATCTTCATAGGCAATTAAATGTTAAGGTATTTCAACAATTTATCCAAGCCATTCTTCTTCAGCTAAACCTAAAAATCCAATTTTGAATGGTTGATTTCCAATATTACATAATTTGGTAAAATGAGGTAAAGTATGTGCAAAGTTTTAATTAGTTTCTGCATTGAAAACATTAGATAAAACCCAAGGTATTTTGGATTTTAAAAATAAAGATTCAACATGTTCAATAGTATAATCAAAATCATGATTTCCTGGACAAGCTACATCTATATTGAATTATTGAATAGGATATAACATTTAATCACCTAAAGATAATGATATAAATAATACCTCTATAGATATTAGATAAGGCAGATGGTGCAAAGATGTCTCCACTAAAAAGAGTAAGAGTATTGAGATGTTTTTATAGTTAATGAAGTACATAAACAAATCTAGAAGCCCCTCCTACTGGATCTTTAACTTATTCTTGAATATCGTAAACATCATTAAAATGAAGTATATACAAGTCATTATTAAGCATTTTGTGATTAAACAATAATATAATTGAAAAATTATCAATAATTAAAATTAGTTTTATTAAAAAATAAAATATAATAAAAAAGGGTTGTCAACACGAGGACTTCCCAAGCGGTCCCCCACCTTAGTACTAACCTCGCCTTAAGCCGCTTAACTTCGGAGTTCGAATGGGATCCGGTGCTTTAGGCTTAGTATGGCCGACAACGATATTTATCTTCTTTATTAATATTTAAATAGTTATTCTTTTATCTATATATATTATTATTATTATAAAAACAATATTTCATTCTGAATCATATTCTACAAGTTTTACCTTCTTTTATATTACAGGTTCAGGAATATTATCATCATCATCATTTACTAATGGTTTAAAATTCTTTATATTTGGATTCTTTATTGTTTAATTATTATTTTCATCTTTATCCTTATTTATTATCTCTTCCTTAGTATTCTCATTATTCAAATCTTCTAAAAATTAAGGAGGTTTAATCTTCAACTTTACCACTTTTATTGAACCCACTGAATATACTTTATCAGATGTTTATGATTCCTTTTATACTACAATTTAAGGAGTGCTATCAATTGTTAATTCTGATCTTCTTTATTTAAATTATTTTATATGTTCTCTCTCTATTTTTATTTTTCTATTCTCTATTTCTCTTAATTAACCATAATATTAAAAAAAATCAAAATCTTCTTCATTAAATATTTCCTATTTAAAACCACTCTCCTCAACGTATTCAAGATTATCTAATTAATATTTAAATATACAATACCTTCATCTGTTAATGGTTTTGTCTTCTCATATATGTTTGGTTTTGTTTATTTTTTTCTTTACATTTTTGTTACCTCTGGTCTAAGTAATTAATCAAGTTTTTCTTATTCAACAATCTATTCAGGTAGAGTCATAAAGGTTAGCTTTTTCTCTTGAACTTAAATTGGCTAATTTCGTTTCACTTCCTAAAATTCTAATCCATCTTTCGAAGTTAAAATTGAATGAGAAACAAATTTATTTGTCATAATATATTTAATAAAAATATTTATCAATATTTTATAATTAAAATAATAATCTTATTTGTTCAATTTCATATTATAATCTTTTTTAATTTTATTAACAAAAGTATCATCTTAAATGTGAGTTTGGTTATCTAATATTTTATCATTTTTTATTTCATTATATTATCAATAACATATAATTCAGAATAATTTAAATTTTTATTCATTATTTATATTTATTATGAGTGATTATTTTAATTATTACAAAATTTAAGATCCAACTTTCAGTAATTTATCATATGAGAATTGATAAAAAGATTAAATACTAAAAATCTATTTTTTGAAAATGAATAAATCAAAGATAAATATATTATTATTAGAGTATGTTATAATAAGTTATTTATTATTATCTTATTTAAAATTTATTCAGATTATTAATTATTAGCTTTTTATATTAATATTATTAAGATGGATTATTCATATTTAGCTCCACCTTTAGGAGCACATTCAGTTTAACATACAGGTATTTGAGAACTATAATTAAATGAATAGATTATTATATAAAACATAATGAGAGAGAAAAAGGAGCTCGTAAAATTTATGATTTCGTTCATTACGATTCGTTTGAACAAGAAAAGATTAAAGAACTCAAATAAGAAATCTAAAAATTAAATATATAGCTTCCATCAGAGTAATTATTTACTTTTATAAATCAGTTGGAAAGAGAGCGATTATTTGAAAATTGGTTATTCAGGTCGCTTTAAAATGAAGGAAGTTATCAAAGTAAATAATATTATCATTAAATCTTTAGAAATTATAATTGCATTTAGCTTGGAGAGCTAATCCAATTTATCACTAAATTAATCCAGCAACTGAAAAATTTCTTAAGGATGGTATCTGTTATATATTTGGAAGAGACAAACAGTATCGTCCTATAGTCATACTTAATGCTCATCTTATTGATTTAAAGAAAGTATAACTCAAACTATATTTTTTATAGTATGATAAAGAAACGATAATATAAGCATTGTCATTTTAGATGGGAATTATTAAAAAACACATGTTCATTCCTGGCAAAGTTGAAAATTGGATATTTTTATTAGAAAGTAATGGTTTAGGAGTTTTTGGTTTACCTACTAAAGCATTACAAGTTGTTATAGATACAATGAGCACTAACTTTGGTGGTTGTTTGGAAAAAATGTTCATATTAAATCCTTCAACAGGTTTGAATTTTTTATGGAAAACTATATCAGGATTTTTAGATCCTGAAACAGCAGAAAAAATTAATTTTTTATAAAAGAAAGAATTTATGAAATTGCAGTAAATTATTGATCCCAATCAATTAGAATTAAAATATGGAGGAACTCAGCCTAATTAAAGTGTTTTCTGGTATTTCTATTTTTATTGAATTAGGCCTCCTTATAATTTAGATTTAATTGATGGTTATACAATTCCTAAATAAAAACAATAAATTGATTAATTTATTTCTTTAAAAAATGATGAAAAATAAATATAAAAAAATGATGATCCTTATGATAATGTTGAAAATAATGTAAATGACTTTTTTGAAACTTAAAAATAATTTTATAATTTTGAATAAAGAAAATCTGCTGAATTTGGCAATTTACCTTAAAATGATGTATAAGATTAAGAATAACTTTAAAAATAAGAATTAAATGATTAAGATCAATAAAAAGTAAATGATTAATTTCAAATCTAATAAAATTAATAACAACAAGAAATTGAATAAAATTAAAATGATTAAAATGCCTAATAAATTCAACATTAGCATAATGAAGAAGAAAGAAAAGAAGAAAACTAAGAAGAATAACTTTAATAATAATAAGAAGGAATTATTTCTAAATTAGAACCTGAATAAGAAATATAAAAATCACCTGAATCTTAAGATAATTAATAATAATAATAATAATAATAATAATAACAATAATAATAACAATAATAATAATAATAATAATAACAATAACAATAATAATAAAATCAAGAGTAAATTCAAAAAGATGAAATTAATGTTAATAACAAAAATTAAAATGAAGAAGAACTTTAAGTGGTTAGTAATGCATCAGCTACAAAAATTATATAACCAGAGGAAGTATAAGGATAAAATGTTGAAATAACTTAAATTGATACTGTTGCGAATCACGCTTGTTGTAAAGGTTGTGAGATATTTTGAATAATTTATAATCAAATTTTAAATTGTAATTATTCATAAATTAACTAATGAAACAACATTTTTCTTATATTGAAGAATTATTTGATCCTGAATAGTATGTTTTAATGACCAAAAATATTCAAGATTTTCAAAAAGTAACTTAGTTTTTCAAGAAGTAATTCAAATTAAATAGCATAGGTTTTTTGATGATATTTTGAATAAGCAATTAGATTTATGTGGAACTAATATTAAAAATTCTTAAAAGATTACTAAATACATGCAATAACCCTAATTGCCTTTGTCTAAAAGCTTAGTCAAATTGTGTCAAGTAATTATTTAGAATCAAACTTATTCAAGACTGTATAGGATTTATTTACATTTGTAAAATAAGGCAATCTAGAACAATAAGATGGATTAATTTAATATGAAACACTAGTTCGTGAATAAATTGATAAAATTATAGAGCATAATAATGGATATGTGTAAACTGCAATTAAAGTATTTACAGTTGTATTTAAATAGTACTATAAAAACGATGAATAATAATACAAGAAGAATTTAGAAGGTTTGAAAAATAGAAAACAATAATATACCGAACAATTAGAACTTTATAAATAAACTGTAAATGATCCTTCTATGTTATACAACTAAAATCTCAAATAATAGAGATATAATGAATTGTAGTCAAAAATTAGAAAAATTAAAGAAAATGAAAATCAAATTCTTACTTCTTTGGAAGTACTCAATTATCGTAGAAAATGTTTATGTATAGAATTACAATAACTATAAAAAATTATTGAAGATGCTTTTTCAACAATAATTGGATTAACTCATAAATTATGTTATTCAAATATCATTTGTTTTAAAGTAAAAATGGAAGCATTCTATTAAATCAGTAAAAAGCATTAAAAATAAATCAAATATCAATTTACTATATTACCTGATCAATCTAAATTTAATTTTGATAAATTGGATTATGTAAGTTAATAAGATTTTTAATAATTATATTATGTCTAAAAAAACTTTAACTTCAATTAAGATGAATCATATGAAACTATAACTTATAATAACGAAGATATTTCTTTTCGTTCTATTAAAAATATACCATCTGTTAATTAAAGTTATCAAACTATTAATGATTAAAATGATTAATGGATACCAAACTTTCTAAAGTAGGATATTTAATTAGTACCTACATCACAATTAATATAATATTATGAATGGATATTAACATATACAAAAGTAGTCAAAGAAAATTGTAGTATTAATAATAATATCATTTTTAAACTCTTATAATTTGTTGAGGAGTTAATGAATTAATTTAGAAAATAAGGAAAGGCATGTATTAAGTAACCAGATTTTAAATAAAATTATTTTTCTTAATTGAAATGGTTTGAATAGTTTAACCAAGTCTTTGGAGAATAAGGTTATAATGACTTATATGCTTATACTAGTATAAATGATTTGTTTAATTTATTTACAAATAAGTTTTCAACTCTTTTATAAGATGAATAACAATCAATTTTATAAGTTTAAGAGAAAATTACAAATGAACAAAACATTGTATTTTCAAGCATTGACAAATAAATGTTTGATTTATAGATTGTTCATTAAAATTATCTAAGATAATAAGGATTACTTAATAATAATAGAACAATAACTTTAAGTTAAATGGATTCAAATAAAAAAAACTTATACAATTAAACAAAAGTAAGTAATTTAAATATTTTAGAATGAATAAGATTTTAGATAAATGATAAAATAGAGCAATGATGCAATAAAACATTTAGTTTTAGATTTAGATAATAAATTAAGCAAAAGATATAAAACAATTAGTGAAATTACAGAATAAATAACTTGTGCTTTTAATGTTAATTTAATTGATTTATTGAAATTGTAATTCTTATTAGATATATAAATAGTTCATATGCTTAAGAAAATGCATTAGAATTGAAAAAAAAGTCAATTGAGTAGGTTGTATAGTATTTAAAATCCTAAAAGTCATTCTAAATATTTTACAAATAAATCTTTGTTAAAAATAAAGCTAAAAATTTAATAGAAGATTTGTAGACAGAATCATATGATTACTAATATTAATCTGATCAGGATTTTTATTAACTTTAATCATTACCTAAGCCAAATATTGTAACAATTAACTGATTTATAGATTCTTGATTAAAGTTAGAATGAACCTGAGGAGGATTAAAAGAGTATAAGTGAATAATCAACTAAGGAACAAGATAAAGACAAGATAGAATAATTATAATTTATTAAATCAAAATTGAAAATAGAAATAAATGAAGTATTAATTGCATCATTTGCATGTGCATTATCAGAGAAAATATAATTACAAGGTAGGTTGTATATCACCAATAAAAGATTATTTTTCCATTCAAGTTTTAATTCAAATAATTTATTTTTTGGTGATACAATATTGAATATTCCTAAATAAGATATATTATGTATACAAAAGAGAACAAATGCATATATATTTGATAATTCAATTTCAATATATACTCCAAAAGGCTAATTATTTTTTGCAACTTTTTTTTAGAGAGATATAGCATATGATTTAATAATAAAAACTTTTTGTCCAAAAGAATAGCCAGAGTTATTGGCATCAATATCAAATTAGGCACCAATAAATTAAATAAAGATAATAAATGTTTAATATAGTTAAGAATAATTAAAGTATGAAAATTTGATATATATAAATAGATAATTGGAGGATAGAAAATAAAGGATTTAAAACCTATTAGGTTCAGATCCTGAGATATTTATATCAGAGAATATATTTGAATTTCCAGAAATAAATGTTAAATTATTTTATCGTTTGATATTTGGAGATAAAATGCCAGGATAGAATTTAACATTTTATGAGAAAATGAAAAAAGGTCCATTAGGATGTGATGGATTAACTTTAACTTAATGGATTCCTGCTCCTCCTATAGATTTTGATTCAGATTATGGAACATAGAATTTATTAGATGGTCCTGATTTTATTGAGAGAGAATTTAATTGTATTCAACCATTACCTAAATCTTCAATTCCATTCATGCCTACAAAATGTGAGTGTAAAGAACGTTAAAAGTTATATTTTTTGAATTAAGACTTTTTTGTATTAGATTTGATTGTGAAGACCTTTAAAGTACCATATGCTGAATCATTTTAAGTTCATGTTCGATATAAATGCACATAAACAGAAAAAGGAGTTAAATTAGATTGTAGAATAAGAAATGAATTCTTAAAATCAGTTTTGGTTAAAAAAGGTATATTATGATTTAAACATAATTTTAGTTATTGAAAAAGCAAGTTCAGATGAAATATTAGAAAAGACATCTTAAAAGATCTTTCCTTCAATCACATAAGAATTAAATAATTATCTGAAGGGATCAAATAATAATGATACATCTGATGAAAATAATTAGATTAATGATAAGAAAGTAGTGAAATAAAAAAGATTAATAAAATAAATGTTAAAATCTGCAATTCCATTTTTAAATGGTACAATAATAACATGTTTAATTCTTATTATCATTTATTATTTATATGCTAAAGTTTTGAGTAAGATGACTATCAAAATAGAGTTTGATAAATGAGTAAATATATGAATGATAATAAATATATATTTTATTTTTTAACTGATAAATTACATGAATTCAAAACAATAACATATGACAGTGTGTCCTGCTTTACTGAAAGGTGATGATTAACCAGATGACTTCCCTCTTAGAACTTAAAATACTAATGTTCCTAAAATACCTATTTAAAAAAAAATTATGCCTTAACAAAATAATGAAATATTATATGAGAGATTGAATTAAGAAGCTGAAATTTTTAAATAGAATAATTAAATGTTAAAAGATTACTATGATTAAGAAGAATTACGTCCTTGTTCATTTACTCCACAAACTTTGAATGACGGTTAGGAAAAAAGATCACTTTATTAATTTTTATTTGATTAACAGAATCATGTTCTTAAAATAGAATAAAAATTAGAATAAATCAAATAAAATGATGTTGATAGAGATTTATAACATTCATATCATCCTAAAACTAATGATTTTCATTTTTAATCAAGAGATGAATCTATACCTACTTATGAAAGACTATATAATTTAAACTAAAAAAAACCATCTGAACCAAAAATGTAATCATCAGAATCAACTATTGATTTTAAACCATTGATTCAATAAAAATCTTCAAATATAGTTAGAAATTAAAAGGTTGAAGATATTCTATATTAAGATGCTTAAAGAAGACAATAGAAATAAAAAGAAGTTTAAGAAAAAAAAAATACACCTAAGGTTGTAACAGTAAATGTTAAATATACTTCAAATAATAGTGAAAAAATAGTAGCGTAAAAGTTTATTAGAGAATTTGAGACAGTTATTGATTGGATATTTGATTAGACTGGTTAAGATAGACCATCTAATGTATCTTTTTCTATTGATTATTTAAAATTAGGAGAAATATTATAAAGATTAGATTTTCTTAATTAATTGTAAGCAAAGGATAACAATGAGAAAGCAGTAGAATATGAGAATTTAAGATTGTCTGAGGAAAGAGCATTATTGTGTGAAATATGGAGTGTTTTAAGAGGTGATGAATTAGGTGGAATTAGTAAAAGAAATCTTTGTTTATTTTTATTAACATTGATTGGAATAACAGATTTTAAAATAAAAGAATTACCATCTGCTTAAAATGAGGAAATACCAAATTATTAAAAATCTATATAACCTTAATAACATAAAATAATAACAGCACATTAACCTAATGATAGACCGAAATTAGGAACTATTGATAAAGATGGAAATATAATATTTACATTAGAGGAAACAAAGAAAATATAAAAATAATTTGATATTTTATATAGAAATAGATTAGGTTGTGAAGAACTTAAAAAAACAAATTGGAAAGATGAAAATCCTTATAAACCATAAATATTGGCATAATCAAAATAATTAGCTAGTTAATTTAGAGAGAAATTATTAGAAGAAACTGCTACTTTAATAGATAATTAATTGATAAAAGTTAATATTCCTGAAAATGGATAAATAAGTCATGCAGATTTATTAGTTTTATAGAAGAAGGCAGTAGAATATCATAAAGAATAAAAGAAATAAGAAATAATGTAATAGGAATTAGACAAATGTCCATTTAAACCATAATTATTAAATTCTTAAAATAATGAAGAGAGAAAAAGTTAATAAAAGAAATAAGATAAACATTTGTAATTATATTCATTAGCTAAACCATAAACTTAAAAAAGAGATAGAACAACTGAGGAAATTGAATATGAGAAATAATTAGAAGAATGTACATTTTAACCAGATTTGTAAACTAAGACAAATTAATAATAGAAATAAGATAGTCATTATGTAAATAAGGATGTTGATAAGACAGTTTAAAGAATGAAATAAGCAAGATAGAGAAGGGAAGAAGTATAAGGAATGTTAGAAAGAGGATATAAAAATACAAAGGGATAATAAAATTAATAAAATTAAGTGTAATAAATATAATAGAAGAAAGAAAGTAGAAATGAATTCTAGAATTAAATTAAATAGACATCTTAATCATCTAGATAGAAGAGCATATAATCATAAGAATCATAATAAATGAATACATTCTAATCATAGAATTTCCAGATGGATGAATCTTAACCAAAAGAAGAATAGAGTGATATTAGATCTGGCAGCTGTAATATATATAAATATATATTAGAATAAGATGAAAGAATACCATTATTGTTTGTTGATGTTAATTTAGGACCAAGTAAGACTGAAAGAATAGTTGTTTATGAAGGAGATCAATCTTGTGATTTAGCAGCCAGATTTGCAAATGAACATAGTAAAATATTTATATTCATTGATAGATTTGGATGAATTTATGTAAGAAAAATTAAAAGAATTGTTAGATTATTAAATTAGTGGATTATTAACTAAAATTGATGAAGAAGAAGGAGCTTTAAGTGAAAATGATTAATGATATATTCTAATATATATATATATACTAATCATGATTATATTTTCATTAAGAATTATCTGATAGGAGATATGATATGTAAATCAATCAAAAATGAATTATGTGTCATTCCTTCAAATAATTATAAATGAACAAATCCACTACACTTACTCATCAATTATATTGAATGTTAATAAGATATAAATTTATCATTGATACCATGAATAAATAATGTAGGAGAATGTACTTTATGCATTTTTTCTAAATTTCTAAAGCGTTCTTTAACTAATTTTGATACCCAATCAAAACTATTTTCTTTGATTACATCGCATAAAGATGTAAATGGACTTAATAAAACCAGTGCTCTTATTTTTTTGTATCTAATACTCATTTCAATAGCAATACTACTTCCAATAGATCTACCCATAATTATGATTTTAGATTCATCAACTTTTAGATTGTTAATTAAATGTTCAATCATTTAATATGCATCTTTAATTATAGTATCACTAGATGATTGTCCATGATATATTCCATAACCTGGATATTCCATACAAATAGATGCCATCTTTATAGTATTATTCACATACTTCCAATTCAACACCAAGTAAAAAAGCTAGCGATTTACACATTCCAATATCTTCAGCATTTGCATGAAAATATACAATTATTCCATTTCTAAGATTTTCTTCCATTTATAAAAGAGTAACTATTCTTTTTGTTTACTTATTTTAATTTATTTGTCTTTATGAATCAAATTGATTCAGAGTTACCTTTATTGTACCATTAAATGTTTTTAGTTAATTCTAATGCATTAAAGAACGACTACGATGATATTGAACTTCTTCTTCAATATAATACAAACCAGAAAGACTGTAATCGTAACTAGCTTTTGGACATGCAAATACTAAATCGTTAAAATCCATAATATAATTTAATTTTCAATACAACACCTATTAAACAATTATTTCAAGATACTTAATTACTATTACTAATACAAAGAACATATATATTAATATAAGAACATAAAAGATAAACTTAAAAAAATGTTCCCATTAATCATCTATTAAGATAATCAAAAATGTTCAAAAAGGTTTTAATAAATTTAAACCAATTAGTATTATCTAAGATTCCATTCTGAATCAAGTATTTGTAATCATATGATTATGAGATAAAAACTTATATACTATATTTCTATTTTTAAATATTAAATTAATCTACTATAAAAGAATTAAGGTAAATATAGAACTAGAAAAATAAGAGATCTTATAACTTAAAAATACTCCCAAATTTATGAAACTTATTGTAATGGAAACTAAATTAAAACATTTTTAATATTTATAATACCCATTCTTAAACAAAAATGTATTATAAATGAATTAGAATTAATATTATTTTATTTCAAATGAATATTAAATAATTGAATATGATTTTTTAAACAGAACAAATATAATAATAATAATAATAAATGAGATAAAGTAGAAAATAATAAAAGAAGCTACTAACTAAGATAATTAATCGGTCTATAAATACTAATTCTAATCAGGGAAATTGATATGAGTTTATAATAACTAAAAAAACAATAGAGAGAATCTAAATATTTATTATTTTAATGTGATTTTAAATAACCATATAATGGATGATAATTATTGATATTTCAAATGGTTGATCTTTGAAGGGAATTGATGTATTCTAAGTCATCTCCAATAATTTCCATTATCTCCTTGGCATTTTAGTTTGGGAATAAATCTATCAAAGTTTCAGCTACTTCTGGTCTAACTCTCAATAATTCACACAATTCTACAACATTGGGATTGGTTGATTTATTTAAGTTATTTTCTTAAGTATTTTCTTAGGTAGTTTCTTTACATAAAAGATCCAATAACTAAGAATTCATTGGCATTGACATTGACATTGATATTGTATCAATTTAATTCTCTTTTAAAATAGGGATATTAGAAGATTATTTTAATTACATAGTTTGAATCAATTCACTTATTTAACTTCTTAAGATATTTCCTTATGGTAAATCTGGTTTATCACCCTAAATATATGAAATTATATAATACAATAGCTGTAATTATAATTGAAGGAGCTTATTCTGGTTTTCTAATTTTTAACATGGCATGTTCATGAGTTCCTTAATCTTCACATTTCTCACATAGATCAAAGTCTTTGCATACTGCACACTATAAATTATATTTTTAAATATTTACTTTATATCTTGTACCAATAATTGGGAACATTTCACATCCATCACAACATACCTTTTCATGTACTATTTTTTTATCTTCTTTTTCTTCTACTATTGTTGAATTTGCTATTGATAAATTTTCAATCTATTTTTAAATGACATCATTTTCGATTGCTTGTTTCACTTACTTTGTTATCTCAGGAATAAGTTCCATTACCCTAGAATTTACCATTTATTTAATATGTTCTTTTCTGTTCTCCATATTATTGCATACATCTTCTTTTATAAATCCACCTATTTTAACTTCTTGTACATATCTTTTATTTATTTTATATATTATTACAATGTAATCATTTTCTTATCAAATTAACATTCTCTTATTGTCAATAAGTCAGCATCACATGTCACATCAATCATATCTCCATCAAAATCCTCATATTAAAGAGCAAATTTATTTGGTAAGTTATTTATTCTATATGGAAGTCTCTTAACTATTTATTTTATTGTTAGTTCATCCAGAGGTCTTCTGAATGTCCAAGATTATTCATTACATATTACTTATAGTTACATTCTAATTATTTTATATTATTGTTTTATAATTAAATACTGGTGTGACTTATAAAATACAAATCAAATTTAAACTTTATTATTAATTATTAATTGTATTTTATATTCTATCGGAAATGTATCTGTCCCTGATAAACTTATTTTTATCTCTTAAAATTACTATTTCTATATTTATAATTATTACTCTCACAAAATATAATCTGACTCCTTTCTCATCCTCAGGATCATTATAAAATACTATTAATTCATTTCTATTCTCTCCTATTTATTCCACTTTATATTTATATGTATTTTTCAAACTCTTTAAATCAACTTTCTTTAAAATCATTAATATAATTAAATACCCTCTCTAAATTGAACTTTGGAATTATAACTTCGATATTCTAATTATTAATAGATAGAACGTATGCATTTACTTCAATTGGATTAGCTTTTAAAAGTAAGGCTAAAAATAACTAATAAATTAGAGAATAGATATACTTAATCGCATTAATCACTCACTCTTCTTGCATTTAATTTGCAATCATTACAATGTTACATAATAGCTTTTAATTTATCTCTAGTTTCTCCAGTTTAATCAATTTCTTATTTTTCAAGTGCATATTGTAATCTTCTATGTACAAGAATATCAGGATATCTTCTAATTGGAGATGTAAAATGTGTATAAACATCAAAATCTAATGCATAATGTCTCCATTCTTATGGTGGAGTATCATCAACAACAAAATATTAAGCAGCTTCCATTAATTTTAATAAGCGGAATCCTAATATTAATTAAATTTCTTTTTATTCAATTTAATCAACTTTAGACATAGTTAATTTTAAATTTCTAGATGTTGAAACATCTAAATTTTAAGCCATTTCTTCTAATCCTGCAGCTTCTAATAATTTTTTATAATATAAAAGTTTTTCAGATTTAGGTGACATATGTTATCTTAAAATAGCTGTTTTAACATCATAGTCAACTAATTTTTTTCCAACAAATTAATTAGCCAATAACATCCATTCTTCAACCATAAATTATGCAAGTCCTCTTTTTTCTTCAGTATAATCATTAGGGAATAAATCAGGATTAAGGATAAATCTCAATTTAGATTTATTGAAAGTTAATGATCCTTCTAATCTTTTTGCTCTTCTTTTTTGAGCAATTGTATTCAATAATAAAATATTATTTTTCAATATATTTTCATCAAATCCATTAGCTATATGATATCTTTGTTCTCCTTAACTAAATTGTTGAATTTAACCATCAATTAATTAATTAACAATATCATAACTTAATTAAGCACAACTTTTAATAACAGATTTAGCAGCTCTAAAAGTATCCCATAATACTTCTCCTTCAGTTGTCATTTAAAAGAATACAGAAAATGCTAATCTTTCTACATCTCTATTTAATGAACACAATTCTTCACAAAGAATTCTAGGTAACATAGGAATTACTTTATGAACTAAATAAACAGAAGTAGTTCTTAATATTGCTTCTTTATCTACTTCACTATTAGGAATAACAAAATGAGAAACATCAGCTATATGTACTCCTATTTCATAAATTCCATTTCCTAAATCCGTAATACTTAATGCATCATCTAAGTCTCTGGCAGTTACAGGGTCAATACTACATATATATTCTTTTGTTAAATCTAATCTTTTAACTCTTTCTTTTGCTATAGAATCATGAGTATAAGCTTTCATTTCTTCTTTACATATATCTGAAAATTCATTATCATATACTGAGTTCTCTGTTAATATTGCTTCACATTCTACATCAATATTTCCTTACACTCCTACTTCTTTTATCAATTCAACTACTGGATATCTACTGTTCCTTAACCATTCAACATATTTTGCTGAAAAATATCTTTAAGATACATAATCCATAAATTTTTATACAGGATCTTCATTATCTAATTCGAAATTAAAACTTAATAGTTTCTTTACATTAAAAAATGATATTCTTTTGTTTACACATTTAAATGAAACATAATAATTCTTTTCAATATAATTTATTAAATCTTCCTTTGTATTTATTTATTTTTTTAATAATCCATTCTTCTCATTAAAACATAATTTACCAATCATTTATCTACTTTCTAATGGATTCTTTCTTATTCCTACTATCTTACCTATTAATTAAGCTTTTTATAATTTTTAAATCTTCGTTAATGGCACTTTCTTTTTTACAACATCAATAACTGATACTTCTTCTTCTGATATATTATCATCATCTTCACTATTGACATCTTCCCAATCATCATCATTTTCTTCAACTTTATCCACATCAGTTTCAATCTTCTCTTCTACTTTTACTTTCTCTTTTTAAATCTTATTATTTTTGACTTCTATTTTTTCTATTATTTCTTCTTCAAATTCATCTTCTGATTCATTTTCAGTCTTTTAGATTTTTGTAATTTTAAATGCAACAAGTGCTCCATGAAATGCTCTATTTGTTTCAACCAAGGCTAATATTTATAATCATTATCATACAATTAATATGCACTTTTTTCTTAAATATTGGACATTTTATTGTACCCTTTTCTCTAGTAAATTCATTTGCTATGTAAATTCCTTCAAAAATATCATCATCCTATTTTCCTTTCTCTATTTGTTCTTCTGTCCAATATTATTCAAAATCTTTATTTTACCATTTATTTTTTTTCATTCCTTTTTTATTCTTATATTACTTTCTATTTCTTTTATTATCTTCTTATTGATGATCATATTCTTTGAGTAAATCATTATAACTGTCTCTTCTCTATTTTTTTTATCTTTAATTTTTCTAATCTTTTTTATAGTAATAGTCATCATCAAATTAATCATCATCATCTAATCTATCATAATCATCATCAAAATCATTATATTTATAATGATTAAACCTTTTTTTATTGAATCTTTTATTTTAATCTGACTAAGTTATTCTTATATGTTTTTCAGCTCTTCTATCTCTTCTTACTTGCTTATAGTGAACATTTTCATATTAATTTTCATTCTCATTTTAATTCTTATTTTATTAATTATTATTTTTAGAATTTTTATTTTATTGGTTATTATTATTATTTTTTTTTTTATTCTTTTCTTACTATTTCTTATTGTCACTATTATCTATATTTAAATTATTATTATTTTCTTCTTCTTCAACTTATGGATAACTTAATGGTTTATTATTATTATGAGAATGCCATTTTTGATAATCATTAAATCCTTTACTATCATTTTACCTCTTTCTTGAGTTATTTTATTTATTTTTCTACTCTTATTATTTTTATTCTTTATTATTTTCTCTCTCTTAAAATTTACTTCCATGTTTATTTCTATCTCCTTGGATTCTTTGTTCCTATTTTTTTTTATCTGGTTAACCTTATTTTTAATTTTAATATTTTTATTATTTATCTTAATGAACCTCCTATTATTATTAAATATCTGTTTATTTAGATTCATCTGTTTCTTATTTATCTTTTATAAGATAAGAGTATTTTTCGTTTGCCTTTCCTTATTTGTGTTATTCTTTAGGAATGTATTGTTAATTATTTTATTAGCAATATTCCTTTCTTAAACTTTCTTCTATTAAATATTTATCTTTTTTCTATTAATATATATTTCTTATTACTTTAATAGCTACTTTCATACTCTACATTTGTTATTTAACAAATTCGTCTTCTTGATTCATTTTATTATTTTAATTAAAGAATTATTATTTTAATATTTATCTATTTCTTAATAAACTTTAAAAAATAAAAATTCAAATTATATTTTTAATGATAAAATTTATAATATTTGCAGAAATTTTGTGCATTTAAAATTAATTTAAGTTTTAAAGTGATTTAGAATGATTGACAACTTTATTTTCAAATTCATACTTTTTGATAAGAATCATAATAATATTACATTAACTATAACCTATATAATTTAATTTGATTATTTATTTTTTTTGTTCTTTTTATCATGTAAATACTCATTTTATACTTTAGCTAACACATACAAAATCTTATTAATAAATATCATGAAAAAAAATAACAATAAACTTTTAGAGTATAATGAACAAAAAGGAAGAGCAAAGGATTAACTAATCTAAATTTTATAGGATTTTGATAAAGAATCGAAATCTGAATCTGAATAAGAAATCATGATAGAAATCTTAAATGATTACGATAAAGAAAAACTTGAAAAAATCATAAAAAAACTTGGAATTTGGTCTTGTTCTATAGATGGTAAATTATGATATATATTCAAGAACAATTTATTGATGATTTGCTCTAATAATCTTAAATATCATTTGATATTTTTGTCTATATGATTTTGATTTCAGATGGTTATTTCTGTCCTCTCTCTCCTATAACTACTTCGAGTTTGATTTCTTCTTTTCATTGTGGATTGTTGTAAAATTATTTTTGTTGCGTAACCCCAGAAAACTATCATATATATTTCGAAGTAGCCTTAGAAAAAAAACCTATTTAGAAAAAAAATGAAGTAAAACAAATAATAGAATATTTAAGTTTTTAGGTTTTTAAACAATACATAGAATTCACTTCATAGCTTTAAGATTTGATAAAAGATTTGAGAATGTATAAATGAGACTCTTTAATTATCATTCTATTTAAAAGTTGAATCCTTATAGATAGAATTTTGGATAATTAACTTTTGATTCTAGTAATCTAATGTTTTTATTTATTATTAGTAACTTCGATTAAAAAAAAATAAAAATATTTTTGTATAGAAAAAACATTATTTAATTGGAATGAAGTTGAAGAATGGGGTGAATGTTAATTTAGAATAGGATTAAAAGATTAATAATGTATTAGATGGATATCTACTGGGATATAGACTAAATAATTAAACGAAGATTAATTAAAATAATATTATTATCATTAAGAATTCAATAAATGGGTTACAAATGAAGAAGTTGAGTTTTAGAAAAAGTATAAGTTGATGTAAGATTTATCTAAATAAAATAAACATATATTAAATTAATATGCTGACTTTGAGTCAGGAGCCTTGATAATTGATATAATGTAGAAATTACCTGATTTCAAAATATTAATAACATAATAAGAAAGATCAGTTATAGCTTCAAAATAAAATTCTATAATTATAGGAAGAAGTGGGACAGGAAAAACAACATGTACAGTTTTAAGATTGTTTGCAGTTTAGACATTATTTAAAATTAGATAGAAATTATTTAACTAAGAAAATGAAAAGCTTCTGTTTAATTATTAAGATATAAAAAATAAGGTTGGATTACATTGTATTTTCACTACTTAGAATCATGTATTAATAGGAGAGGTAAGAAAGTATTACAAAAAATTATTATAACATATTTAAGATTCTATTAAAAGGAATTAAGAGAAACAATAAGATAAATAATAAAATATTCCATAAAGTTTAGATCAAAGCTTGTAAAAATATATTAATTAAATTAGCATATCATAATCATTTTAAATTTGTGATGAAATTAATGAAAGTTCTATAAGTATGATACTTTAAGAAGAATCTTTTTTATGTCCAAATTTTGATAATGAAGAATAAGAAAATGATGAAGATGATTAATTAGAGGATATTGATTAACTAGGTTCTTTGAATTAAATGACTGATGATAAATTTCCAGCATTTTTAAGTCTTAAAAAACTTATTTTATTAATTGATTCTTCATTAGATCATCCATATTTTGATTAAGAAAGATTTAAAAAGAATGGTTCTAAATTATAAAAAGCTGGATGGAACACAGGTAAAACAATAAAAATTACTTAAAAATTAAAGACAAATAAAAATATTAATGTGATAGAAATAGATGAAAATGCAAAATTTGAAGAATAAGAGTTTAAAATGTTAAATTAATAAGAAATTAAAGAAAAATTAGATGAATCTAAGCTTCTTTTAAAATAATAGGAATAGAAAACATAATAAAATTAAAAATAACATTAATAAGAATCTAATATATAAGTTACAGAAGTTGATTACGATTATTTTTTAAAAAGATTTTGGCCTACTTTAAAAAAGAATAGTTAAAAATATGGTTGTGATGAAAGATCATTCCCAACATTAATTTGGACATAAATATTTTCTTATATAAAAGGATCATAATTTTCATATTCTTATCCTTAAAAATATTTACCTAAATCTATTTATGCTGAGTTAAATCCATCAAATCTACCTTAAGAGACAATTAATCATATTTATGAATGCTTTTTAGAATATGAAAAATGGAAATTCTCTTGTGGAATATTTGATATTATGGATTTAGTCAATTATATAATATGTGAATTAGAAAAAGGAGAATATAAAACTGTACCTATTCATTATTTATTTGTGGATGAAATTTAAGATTTACCTCATGCTATGATAACTTTATTCACAAAATTAATTGAATAAGGTTATTAGTTTTGTGGAGATACAGCATAAAATATTGTTAAAGGAGTAGGATTTAGATTTTAGGATCTTAAAAATCTGTTTAAAAATATAGAAAATCCATAACTTACTTAATTAGAATAATTTTAATTAACTATTAATTTCAGATCTCATAATAATATTCTATAATTAGCAAATAGTATAGTAAATTTAATTGAATTATTCTTTCCTAAGGCTATTGATAGATTGAATAAAGAAATTTCAGATTTAAAGGGGCCTATGCCGATGATTATTTAAAGTAATAATATAGATGAACTATTTAATTTTTTAACAGGAGATATAAATCCAGATAAAGGTTAAAAAGCTGTTCCTATTGAATTCGGTTGTAATTAAGTTGTTTTAGTTAAAGACTCAGAAGCTAGAGATAATATTCCATCTGTTTTAGCTCATGCATTAATTTTAACTATTTATGAATCAAAAGGACTTGAATTTGAGGATGTTATACTATTTAATTTTTTTACTGATAATACAATTTTATAATCTTAATGGGATTTATTTAATTAATTATTAATTGATGAAATAGAAGTAGACAGAGATGAATATAATTTTAAATTAACAAGTATTTAATATTATTTATTTAGGACATGATTAATAAAATACAAGTACAGAAGATTATTTAGATAGTAATGTATCATTTAGTACATAAAATGAATAAGGTAATGTACTTGTTAAAAAATTAAGATTAAAACCAAGCATTAAGGCATTAGATCTAAATAATTATAATGCCTTATGTAATGAGTTAAAATATTTATATGTAGCTTCTACTAGAGCAAAAAATAGATTAATTTTATTTGATTAGCAACCAGAAAAAAGATGTAAAATTTAAGAGCTCTGGAAATAATTAAATTTAATTTCTATTTTAGATGATTCTTATTTTTAAAATGCAAAGGAGATTAATAAAATTATAACTCAAAATACAAAAGAAGAATGGTTTGCAACCGGTATGAAAATGTTTGCAAATAAATATTATGATCAAGCCATTAAATGTTTTTAAATGGCTGGAAATTAATAACTATTGATTAAATCATAAGCATATGCATTTGCAGTTAAAGCAGAAAAATATTTATTATAAAGTTAAAACTATGCTGAATTAAGTGAAGATACTCATTTACCAAACAATTTAAGAAGATAATATAAAGAAAAACATGAAAATTCTAAATTATAAATTTTAAATAATTTTAATCAAGCAGGTTAAAAATTTCTAGAATGTAATAATAAAAAAAATGCAGCAGCTTGCTTTTTCTCAGGACAATAATTTTAATCTTCATTAATTTACTACTTACAAACCAAATGTTGGGAAGAAGCAGCAGAAGTAAGTATTAAATTAAAATATTATCATATTGCTGGATTATTATGGTTAAAGTCAAATAAAATTGATTAAAGTATTGAAGCATTTCATTCATTCAAAAATAATTTAATAACATTACATTTACTTTATTAATTCAAGTATTAAATAAGTGATGATCTTTAAAAATTATGGGAAATTTTATTACCCTAAGTACTATAAGAATGTTGGCTACATTATAATAAGAATAAATAATAAATTTTTATATAAAAAAATAATGATTCCAGGATTGAAAATTAAAATTATACGAGCAAAAAATTAGATTTTTCGATTTTGGAAAACCATACTGATTTTCAAAATGAATTTTTATAAGAATTGCTAATTATCGATGAATCATCATAAAATTTAGAAACTTAATAGGAAATGTACGAAACGCTTTTTAATTATATTAATAATTTTTTAGATGAGATATTATTAGTCCTTTCAAAGGTATTTTTCAATTATCCATTATAAATAATGAAAGAAAGCATGATGATGTAAGGCGAAGAATTTCATCAAAATTAGATAGCATTTATATAAAATGTTTTAGAATATTTTGATATTCAGGATTTGTAACTTTTTATGCTTGATATCACAAATTCAAATGATAAGGATAATTATTTTATTTCTTGCCTTTATTATATTTCGCCATTGTATTAACCATGCTTTTCCTTAAATTATTTATTCTAAAATTATTTATTCTTAAATAATTCGAAATTACATAACGCTGATTCAAGTAAAATATAAACTTTTCATAAAACAACTTTAAAGAAATCAGAGTAGAAATTATCTACTTTTAGCTTCTCCTAAAATAGGCTATTAATGAGCTATTCATTATGTTAATTGGGATTATATGAAATAGTAATATAATGTTATGAGAAAAAAATTAATGATTTACAATCAATATAATAATAATCAATGACTTAAACCAAAACTAAAGTCTTTATATATAATTTGAAAAACATTTTCCAACTTTTCTAACAACATGAAAATTTATTATCTAACATTAATTTTTAATTTGATTTCCTTTAGAGTCCTGAAAATTATATCTAAGCCATATTAGGATACTATTATTATTATAAATAAGATCTTAAAAAACTTAAACTAATTTAAATAGATTAAACCTTCTAATTTATTATTGATAGATTATAAGTATATTAAATTAAAATTAAAAATAATAAAGATACTGATTTCTAAAAATATTTACAATCAATTATAAGACATAGCAATGATTAGATTAATAAAACTATTATTTTATCCTTTATTGCTTATTAAGATGATAAAATTATGAGTTTCCTTAATGATTTAAATTATTTGGATTATTAATATTTTTTGATTGAAATCTAAAAAGTTGTAGATTTATTTAAATATAATCGGTAAACAAACATATAGAAGGAAACATTTTAGAGTATATGTGCAATTTATTAACTGTCATTACCAATAACAAAAGATTTCTAATTCTTAGGATAATCATACATAATTGTCAATAAATCTTCTTTGATATTTTCAACTTTAGCCAATAATTATAAGTAATAATAATTTCAGGCTTTTTAATTTGACATAAAGGGAGAATTTTTTTTATTTTCCTCATACTTTGTAGTAAAAACTATACAAAAAATATATAAGGATTTTTTAAAGAGTTATGTACACAAATATTGTAAGAGAAAAACTGCATCAAACAATAATGTCCCTTTTTTAATATAAATTTATTCTTTTTGTGCTATTAAGACTGAAAATAAAGAGAATAAAATAGTAAATAAATATTTAGATTAAACTATTGCTGATTATAATCTGTTAAACTGCTTAGAGTATTAATTATAAGATTAAATATTCAATATTTGGTATCAAATACCAAAAATTGAAAATAATTTAAATAGACTAATGTATGAGAGATTAACAAATAAATGTTTTGCAAAAGTTCTGACTGATCAAAATAAAGAAGAATTGCACATTCATTTATTAACAGGTATTCATGCACTAAATATTGCTTATTATTATGATGTATCTTTAAATTTTATATAAAGTCTCATTAAAGCAAGAAGGATATTAGAATAAAGGCATAGAATACATTATAATGAAGTTGCTTAATTAAACCCTTTTTTGACTTAAAAACAACTTTAAGGTTATGAGAGCTATATTTATTATTTATTACATAATCAAATTTGTATGTCAATGAAAAATATCACCAGATATTTAGAATATCATACATTACTATCTTCTATTAGTTTTTCAGAATAAATATATCGAGATTTAACATTCTGTACATTAATTTATATTATTTGCAAAAGATCTCATCAAGAATTTACAAAGTAATTAGATAAATTGGAAAAGGATGCAAAGGAAACAAAGGAAGCAAACTGGTATCAAGATTAATCGTCATTATAATTAGAATAATAAATAATACTTGAAATTACAGAATTTAGAAACTTTAGAGATTTTAAGAAATAAAATATGAACTTAATTTTACCACAAAAGGCTATTACATTCTTAAAAACGCTTGAGTGCTAAAAGGTGTAGATAGATGAATAATTTGATGACTCATCTGTTCAGAAATTCCTAAATTTATTAATAGAATTATTTAAAACTGGAGATGAAAAACCTTTATTTTTATTAGCTTCAATAGTATTTAATGTAGAATAAATTAATATTGAAATTCGAATGGCTTTGGAAGCTGCGTTAATAGAATAAATTTCAGAAAAACGAAGAGAAATTATTGAGGATATTCTAGAAATAGCAAGTGAAGATTTTGAAAAGAGACACAATTATTTGTAATAGATGATTAATAAAAAATAAAATATTTTTTCAAGATTTAGAAATATAGAGATCAATTATTCAAATATATCAATGAAAAATTTTAATAATTTTTATGAAAACGCACTCAAAGATAAATTACGAACAGGGTAGATTAATAAAGATATTAATTATGAGCTTTTTTAATAAGAGAAAAAGAAATTCAAAAGTTTGTATGTTGGAATGAGGTTTACTACTTATAGACCACTTATTAAAAATGGAATAAGTTTTAATGATTCTTTATTGGTAGCAGGAGGATCCTCAAAAATTTATGATTCAGTAAATATTTTAAGAAGGTATTAATTATAGATAATCATAGTAAATTAATTGAAATTTTGTTTACAAAATAATTATAGAAACCTGTAAATTTTAATTCAATTAGGGAACAATTAAGCAAACTTGCAAAATTAGAAGCAGAATTAGATCAAGAATTTGTTGGAACATAGTTCTCTAGAAGTGGATTTAGAATATAGAGTGGATAATTTGAATATGATCTAGAAGAATTTGATGATAAAATAGATAATTGGATTTAAGAGAATAGCTAACTATCTAATAAATTCGAAACTATTGAAACTCAAATAAACAAGAATGTTCAAAAATAAACAGTTGCTATGTGTTTAATTTAACAGCGTTGTTATTAGAAACATTGAAATATAATAAAATATATATATATATAATATTAAATTATTTTAATAGATCAATAAAGTTTACAAAAATTAACAATTTGTATATTAAAGTATATGAATGATAAAGTTGATTTTTCTTAAGTAATGGATATTTTTTTGCCTATCCAATTTAAAATTTTTATAGCGGATAATTAAATAAGATATGATCCATTCGATTAAGTATCGAATGAATAAAGATAAAATTCAGCTGCTGTTGGTGTAATGTAATTTAATTTTGGAAATTCTAATTTCAATTAATTAATGGTCCTACTACTAACTGAATATAAGTGAATATCATCAAGAAAATTCTAGGCTTTATCAACTTTTATTAAATATTTGAAGATTAGTATGGACAAAGATGTAAAATGAATATGATGGAGGAATTAATCTAAAATCAACGATATTTCTTGATATAGAGATATCCTTATAAACTTGTTGCTTTTTGTTTATCAATTAATTAAATCTTTATCATTTCCTACATTAAAATCAGATAATTTATTCTCTAATTCAGATTATCTTTCAATTTACCAATTATAGTAATCAATTTAGATTTGATAGATACTAATTTCTTGAAGTGTATTTTTTGTTTGTAAAATAAATTCTATTTTATCATCATGATGGCCAATATTTAAAACGTGATTCAAAAACTTTGATTGTTATCAATTGAATAATCTTGATTGATATCTAAGCCTTTTTGGTTCTTTTAATTTATATCAGTAATGTTCAATTTAGAATGTAATTAGTAATATTGGTTAAACAGGCCCTTATATTTTTTTATGCGCCTCTTCATGTGTCTATTCTTTTCCTTCTTGTACATTTGTACCTGTATTATAATCTGACCTACATATGCCTGCTCCTTAACCTTAAGATCCAATATATTATTCATTAGCAAATACAAATGATAAAAGTATATCTTTTCGTAGTTTCTATTACTTTAGGTTTCCATCTTATGATTTTCCACAATTATTAAAAGTAATAAAATAGCTGTTTTTCTATCTTGATTTAAGGTTTTTCACTTATTTCAGTTTTAAAATGTTTTTAGAATCTAATCACTAAAAAATTTAATGTTTATATGATACATAAGTAGTAGGAGAATACTAATTCAACTTTTCATTTAATATTATTAGTCCATTCATTTGATCTTAAATTTATCAATCCTATTTGATATTTATGATTATTAATCCTCTTTAAAATAAATTATACATTTTTTTATTGTACTTTACCATAAAAAATAGTCATTATATTCAAATCCTTTATACCTACTATTTAATATTTAAATGTCATTGAAAGTATTTAAAATTATTAATTTGTTTCAAATAAACAAAATCTATGTTCCATCTGTTATTTAATCTTTATCTCCGTCTAATTACTTTATTTATAACTTATTACTTTATGTTATCTAATTCTATTATTACATTTCCTATTCGCTTTGAATATATAATATAAGTTTGTATTTAACAATATAAATTAATTATAAATGTCCACTTCTGCAAATAAATCTAAAGCATTTGCAAAATTCAAAATTGTATTTATTGGCAATCAAGCTGTTGGTAAGACATCAATCATAGCTCGATTTGTATATGAATAAATTCCTTAATAGCATTAAGTATTAGTTAAATAGTGATATTAGCCCACAATTGGAATTGACTTTCTTTCTAAATGCATTTAAGTAGACAATAAAACTGTAAGATTGTAATTATGGGATACTGCAGGTTAAGAGCGTTTTAGATCATTGATACCATCATATATAAGAGATTCACATGCAGCTGTATTATGTTATGATGTTTCAAGTATTATTTAAATATTATTGTTTTAGATGCTTAGACATTTATAGATATTAAATAATGGCTTGAATATGTAAGAGAAGAAAGAGGATCTGATGTATTAGGAGTACTTATTGCTAACAAAATAGATATTGAAGATAGGTATATTATATATTTATTTTAGAGCTGTTACTACAGAAGAAGGAGAAAAGTTTGCTAAAGAATAAGATTTACTTTACTATGAGGTCTCAGCTAAAGAGGGAACTAATGTTTAATCTACCTTTAAGAATCTTGCATTAAAACTTTTAGGCCCTATTTAAGAAATTGAATAACCAACTACTGAATGTATTATTGATTCTAATTTAGTATCCTAACCTAATATTGCCAATAAAATTTAATTACAATCATAAGATCAACAAAAACCATAACCTGAATAATAGAAATGTCAATGTTGATAAATGAAAAATAATCATTATTTTTATTATCTACATTAAAAACAATCCAATCACAATCATTTCAATTAATACTAAAATAAATATGATTTTGGTATATTGTTGTTCATCATATCAATTATCATAAATATTCTTGGTTTTGTAAATATTGAAGTATCACAAATAGAATACTTATTACAATAACTTACGTGTTATTTTAAGTGATTTAATTTATAAAATAAAAATAGTAATCACTTAAATTTTATGAATTTAATATTTCTATTTTTATTTTTCAATCTAACTATCGTGATATTTAATATTTTTATATAATACTTTAAATATTTTGATTAATTTAAACTTTTAGAAAATTTAGATGCTTTGGTTGTTGGCTTAAGAATTAATTTTTCTCTTTACCTGAATAAACTTCGAGCGCCTGATTACTTTATAATCCCTTAGTTTTTTCATTTTTAGAAATTTGACGACTTAATATTAATAAGTCTATGATTCAATTTTTAATTGTTAATTTAGGTGTTTTACCAAAACTTAATAAAGTTGTTTTGGCTTTGTAAAATATTAGTTTTCTTTTAATGAAATATCCCTTCTAAGCTTCCCATGAGCAATAATCTATAAAAAAATATGATTTTCTTATTTAACTTTGATATAATTTTTATGAAAATATATATATAAATAAATTCTGTTTAAAATAAAATTAATTTGAAAAAAATAATTAAGACAAGTAAAATTATTTCACATAATTAAAATTACTAAAAATCCCAACCCCAAACCCAAACCCATCCCATTTTAATTAATTTTCATCCTTTACAGTATCTAATTTATGAAAATAAACATTTAGAATGTCGACAACTATCATTTATATTTTTTAAGAAAAATAATTTTTCTATTTTATTTACAAATGAAAACTATTGTAATAGAAATAATGAAAAGTTATTTTATTTTATTTATATTCGTTTATATTTTCATTGTA